CGGTCAAGAGGCCGGTGTAGCCAGTGCGATAAGCAGTGCATGGACGGACACCGCGCGCCTGTCGCAGGCGGCACGCCCGGTCGTCATTCATCCTGCCCGCTGCGAGCGGCGCTCGCCCCATCTGCACAGGTGGGCGGCCCACCGGCGGCAAACGGGTTCCGCACCGGGCCGGCGGGCGGGACGAGCTGCTACCCTTGGGCCGTGTTCCGTGCGGCCCGGCGGCGGCGCCGCGCCGCGCGCCGGCGTGTCACGCGGACGCGCCGCCGCGTCGCGACGACTCTCACGACCGCTCCGCCTGGCCGCCCGGCCGCTCATCAATCGGGGCTGTCGGCCGGGCCGGTGCGGCTGTCAGCCAGCCGGCGGCGGCGGCTCGGAGGCGGCCGCGCCACCGCACCGCGGATGGTGTCGCTTCCGCCGCTGGACTCGGCGCCGGTCGCCGGCCATCTGGGCTCTAATGGAGCGGCGGCGCCGGTTCAGTGCCCCGTCTCTCAGCTCGCTGTCCGACTCCGACTCGGCGTGCAGTCGGCGGCTGTACACCGAGCATCTTTCGCCTATCTATGATCCGTATGGATAGGCGCATAGACTACCAGCTGAACATGCACACAGGTTCGTCGTTGGTTGTGGACGTTTTGTGCTGTTTGCTTTTGACCTCTTCTGTTCAATAGAAACGCTTGCCACTGCTGAACAGAAACATCAGCCGATGAGCAGCTGGCTACGCTCGGTGCTTAGCGAACATAGTTTTGTAAACCACACAGCCTCAAGTTATGTGGTCAGGTGCCGGCCACATATCGACGCGGACGAATGTGGAACGTTAGGCGTGTGCAGTTCTACTAGTGTTTTGAAAACATCCTTGAAAGGTAGCTTGCGCAACTGAGTGGAGAATTGATAGCTTCTTTCAAGGCCACGAACATTTCGGATTGCAAGATGGACTTCTGCCAAGCCCCAAGCATAAGTTTCCAGGCCACAAAAATCGTTGTGTGGTAACACCAATTTGCGATGCAATGCTGCTGTGGCGCCGCTGTTTGCTCCTCCGAAAAGGATGAAGGTGGCGTCCCACCAGACGGTGCGACACGCAGCTGGCATCCCCCGTGACTGTCAACTCCCGGCCGCCGTGCAAGGGCCGTTCAACAGGCACCCCCCAGACGTGGTAGTGCGGGGCGTGGTGCACCCCGCACAGCCCGCCCTGAGCCAGTGAGGGGGAGACGCGGCGCCGGGGCAGACCCACTGCCGCCGCCGCCGCCGCCGGGCGCTGAGGCGGCTGACTGAGAACGCCGACCGCCGCCGGATCGTCCTGCACGGCGGCCGTCCCGCAGCCGCGGCCTGCGACGCACGCGCCTTTTAGGGTGCCGTGGCCGGGACCGGTCGGCACGCGCGCCACGGCCGCGGGCCGGGCTGGAGAGGCGCGGTACCTGTCATGCGTGCAGGGGCCGGGTTGGCCGGCAGGGGCCCGGCCAGCGGCTCTGGGCGGCTGGCACCGCCACCCGGCCTGCTACAGTGGGCAAGACCCGCTGCCATACGCGCTGCTCTGGCCGTCTGGGGGTCGGGTGTGGTCGGGACACTCCGGGGTCTCCGACTAACGGAGGGCGAGACATGCCGACCATCGTCAGACGCAGACCAGGTCGTGCACTGCGTCATATCGTTCTTCCCTGTTGTCAGTTATGCGCTGTCTCTGTAGGACAGTCGACAACTCACCACACACGTTTACTGCAAGGTTGCGGCCGCTGTCTGCACTAAATGGTTTACAGCCTCATTCATAGGCACGGATCATCGAATGAGAGGCGCGTTTCATTCATGCGCGCATCTTGCAGCCACTCCCCAGCAGGACTGCCGGTGACGCGCGTCGGTCTGACCGCAGGACCGTCATTCAGGGCCGTCGGCCGTCAGGTCCGCGGCGCGTGTGGGCCGGCCAGTGGGCGCCGTCCGTTGACCCGTGCCTGCCAGACCCGCAGCGGCTGACCGGCGGAGCGTTCACGGCCTGCCGCCTCCGCACGCAGACGCGTGTGGCCTTCTCTGCAGGCCGGAGCGGACGGCGGCCGCCACCCGTCGCCGCCTGTCGCCCGCCCCGTCAAGGTTACGTGCGCCGTGGCCGCCGTAGCCTTGGGGCGCGCGTGCATGGCCGGCCACCTGGGACGCCGTGGTGGCTTCGGAGGCGCCGGCGGGCCTGTCAGCGGCCTAGCGTGCGCCGCGGGGTTTGCCCACCTGGCAGGCGTGTGGCGGTTACTGGACCCGTGCTGAGGGCGGGCTCCCCGGGCGTCGATCGCCGGTGCCCAGCTCAGGTCCCGTCCGGAGGCAGGCAGTCCGCCCTCCGCCGGCGCTTCGCGCGGCCGGCGCCGGCTCGCGTGCAGTGGAGGCGCCGTCGCGTCCGGCGCTGACGACGATCTTCAGTTCCAAACTGCGGCTCCCCGTACTAAGCCACCGCTATGGGTTGAGGTTATATCTCTTTTGAGTTCCGTGCCCCTCGATAGCTTTTTGGCTCCCCGGCTTATCTGCCGACAGAGCCCCCTCCCCCCCCCCCAAACAAAAATACCAGAAGCCCTACCAGCACGCACTGAAAACTGCAACTACTCAACAGTTCGGCGAAATGTGGTCGTCGCTTCAAAGACTAGTCCAGCTTATCTTATGGCTATCAGTGTCTGCTGACAGGTGCGCGCGCGCGCGATTGTCGGCAACCGCACGTGGATCAGGTCCGAGCCCCGGCAGCGCTGATACGCTGTGAGACACGGCCTCATGCCAACGTCACGTGGATCAGGTCCGAGCTCCGGCAGCGCTGATACGCTGCGAGACGTGGCCTTGTGACGTTACGTGGATCAGAGCCGAGTTCCGGTAGCGCTGATACGCTGTGAGACGCGGCCTCGTGCCATCGTCACGTGGATCAGGTCCGAGCTCCGGCAGCGCTGATACGCTGTGAGACGCGTGCTCATGCCAACGTCACGTGGATCAGGTCCGAGCTCCGGAAGCGCTGATACGCCGTGAGACGCGGCCCCATGCCAACGTCACGTGGATCAGGTCCGAGCTCCGGCAGCGCTGATGCGCTGTGAGACGCGGCCTCATACCAACGTCACGCGTCAGTATGTTGGAGCGATCGCCGAGCCCGCCGGCAACACTTCAGGGCCTCCGCGGGCTCTTCGGCGGGGCCGCCGGCGCGTCGTCGGGTCCAGGCACTGGGGCCCGCCTATGCCGGCACCGCCGCAGGAGACCTGTACCGTGTGAAGGCATCCCGGGAGGCGGAGCTCCGGCGGGAACCTGCATGCGCACACTCGGCAGCTCCAAAAGGTTATCGGCGGTCCCACGCGCGACACCGGTTGACGCTGCGTCGCGGCACGGTACACGCTCTTTCAGAGATATCGCTTAGCGAGACGCGTGTAAGATTGTATGCACTGCTGCCAAGGCACGGTCAACCAAGAACTTGCCAACTTTTTGCCATTTTAACTTGATTATGATGGGAGAAACATGATCACCGCGGCGAATACCTTTCACAATACGCCACAGCGGTTGTTGACTCTCTGAATGCGGTATCGCTGAGGATTGCTGCAGTTTCCAAAGCTTTGATTACCTTCCTTTTAATATCCTCCGTCAATTTCGGTGTAAATTTTAAGATGCCGCAGATGCATGCGTAGCAGCGCCTGATTACAGTTGACCTTGACACTACTGACACATGTGATTCCCAAGGGAGGTTTCCGTCCACAATAACGGGTATTTTGACGGACTGGGAGAGGTTTTAACGGAAGATCCGAATTTAAGCGGTAAACGTGCCAGCTGAGCGTCGCTGTCATGAGTGTACACCATAAACTGAGGTTTTTGTCAGATTTATCCTCAAACTATCGTGCGCGAACCAGGAGTCAACTGCCGCCAAAGTTTCCTCGGTGCGATCTTCAAGGCGAAATAAAGCCTTCTGGTAACCCGCCTGGGTAAACTGCACATCGGCCGGCTACATGATGACCTCGCAGTCGGTGATGTGACATGAGAAGTCAGGGGTAAATAATAAGAATAAAATGGGTTTTATTATCGAGCACTGGACTATATCTTGACTTGGCTGTAAAGCATGTTCATCGCCAGTCCAGCCAGTCCCAGAGCCAGTGGAAGTCAACCACTCAAGGTTCTCCTGGAGCCGGCTGTGCTCGACGCTGTCGAAGGCGTTGGCAGTCTCCGTGGAGTGACCGGGTTGGTATCCCTGTTGTTGATCTGTGTGATCAACAACTCGGCCTCTGGCGTACGGAATGGTGGGATGAATATACCACAGTTGAGTCGCACACCAGGCGTTCAAATAATTTTGTCAGTTTAATGTTCATCAATGTCGTTTTAACGGTCGGCAGGATAGAAATTGCTCCCTCATTGTTTGGATCGGTTTTACTACCAGAATTATGTAGTGCTAAAGCAGTAGCTAATTTCCAGTCGCACGGTACAATTCTAAGAACAGTAGAAGCGTTTACAACATGTAACTAGCGGGGTCCGTCGGCTGAAAATGTGAGACGCAACATCGGTAGGCTAATACCATAATCGACGCATACCTAAGACGCACCCATGCTTCCGAGCTCCTTACACGGTTCCGGGAGTGTAGCCGGTTTACCCGGCAGGCCCCACTGCGCACCGGGGCTCAGCGACGGCACAGCCGCCTGCCTTGCGGCGGCAGCGGCGGCAACGCCTCGGGCCGCAGCGGCGTTGTGCGTGGGGTCGATCATCCAGCTGGGCCGCCTGCTCAGTTGGAAGAGGAGCTGGCGGTCTGAGATATGAGCCAGGTGTTGAGTCTGGGTCGTCATGGCCGCTGGCACTGACCGGGCCTGACTCGGATGTGGAGTCTGGGTGGGGGGGGGGGGGGGGGTCGTGACTGCTGGAGCTGGTCGGGTTCTCCCGGCTGTCTCCGCTGGTGGGGTTCTCCCGGCCGTCTCCGCTGATGGGGTTCTCCCGACTGTCTCCGCTGGTGGGGTTCTCTTGGCTGTCTCCGCTGGTGGGATTGTCCCGGCCGCCTCCGCTGATGCGATTGTCCCGGCTGTCTCCGACAGGATCCGGCCGCTGATCTCCCGCGAGAAGATCGACATGTGTCGGGTATGCACCTCGGTGACTCCAGGCGAACCTCAGGTTTGGCTCGGGTCGGACAAGGCCTTCACCTACGACCTCATGTTCGACATGGACTCGGAACAGCAGGACATCTACAGCCAGTGTACCGAACAGCTGATCGAGGGCTGCCTGGAGGGCTACAACGCCACCGTCCTGGCCTACGGACAGGTGAGAACGACTCCGAAGGCTGCCGTCCCCTGTCCACGCGTTCATTTGCAGTCGGCTTCTCTGAAGGCGCCCACACTAATGAAGTGAGGTCGGCGGCGCACGCGGCGGCGCTGGGCGCGTGCGTGTTCACACGTCCCGGCCAATGTCGCATGACGCCGACCCGTGCCACAGCCGGGGAACCTGGGGGAGCGGTGCACCCTGGCGGGGTGGCGCAACGGCTCGGGAAGGGTACCCGTGTGGGGTACGGCCGACAGTCAGCTGATGGGTCGGAGTACGGCCAGCAATCAGCTGGCGGGTTGGAGTACAGCCGACAGTCAGCTAGCTGGCCGGAGTACAGCCGACAGTCAGCTTGCGTTCCGGATTACGGCCGACATTCAGCTGGCGGGCCGGAGTACGGCCGGCAGTCAGCTGGAGGGCTGGGGTACGGCCGACAGTCAGCTGGCGGGCCGGAGCACGGCCGACAGTCAGCTGGAGGGCTGGGGTACGGCCGCCAGTCAGCTGGCGGGCTGGAGTACGGCCGACAGTCAGCTGGAGGGCCGGAGCACGGCCGACAGTTAGCTGGCGGGCCGGAGTATGGCCGACAGTCAGCTGGCGGGCCGGAGTACGGCCGACAGTCAGCTGGCGGGCCGGAGCACGGCCGACAGTTAGCTGGCGGGCCGGAGTATGGCCGACAGTCAGCTGGCGGGCCGGAGTACGGCCGCCAGTCAGCTGGCGGGCCGGAGCACGGCCGACAGTCAGCTGGAGGGCCGGAGCACGGCCGACAGTTAGCTGGCGGGCCGGAGTATGGCCGACAGTCAGCTGGCGGGCCGGAGTACGGCCGACAGTCAGCTGGCGGGCCGGAGCACGGCCGACAGTCAGCTGGCGGGCCGGAGCACGGCCGACAGTTAGCTGGCGGGCCGGAGTACGGCCGACAGTCAGCTGGTGGGCTGGAGTACGGCCGACAGCTGGCGGGCCGGAGTATGGCCGACAGTCAGCTGGCGGGCCGGAGCACGTCCGACAGTCAGCTGGCGGCGATTGATCGTCGGCAGTGCGTGCCGGCCGGGTTCAAGCGCCGTCACCAGCGTAGTCGGCTTTCCACCGCCCTCGTCCGCTTGCCGATCTGTCTTCCGCACCTGGCGTACCTCCTCCAAACTGGACTAGCCCGTGGTCTTGCTCAGACGCTCCTGGTTTCTGCGCCCGTGTGCGCCATGTGACCTGGCTGCGTCTGCGGCGTGCGGTCTGGGGCCGGCCGTGCCTGACTCGGACGTGCGCGCTGCGGGCTGGCTGGCCCTGCCAGCGCGCCGTCTCCGCTGCTGGCGCGGAGCGGGCTCACCGGTGTTACCGGCTCCATCCCGCCGGGTACGGGAGGGACGCCTGGTGTTACCACGGTCGGTGTTACCGGCTCCGGCTCGCCGTGTATGGGACACCTGGTGTTACCGCGGCCAGTGTTACTGACTCCAGCCCGCCGGGTACCGCAGGGATACCTGGTGTTACCACGGCCGGTGTTACCGGCTCCGGTCCACCGTGTATGGGACACCTGCACGCTGGGCGGAGGCGCGGATGCCTACCCACGCTCAGTGCACTTGGTGCGGTCGGCCAGGTCTGGTTTGAAGCCTGCAGCGAGCGAAGGTGGGCCTATCTTTCCGTGCCCGGCTGCATGCATGGCGATTCTCGATCGCCTACGATATTCGCACGTTACTTAAATCCAGACGCTGCGAACCATTGGATGGACTGTTAAGAGATCCGTGCATGTTCTTTTGGGCGAAATCGGTGGGGGCGATTTACAGACCAATAACCCGCCCACTGGCAGCCGGCGGCAGCGATTCTCAACAACAGGGCGGTGTTGACGCCGGCACGGAAGGGACCGCGCGCCGTGTGGAGTAAAAATTGTTCCCGCTCTCCGGCCCAGCTGCGACCGTCCGGCGCCCATACGCGGTGTTCGGCTCCGTTTTTGTGGTCGGCCCGCAAGGCCGGACCAGAGTCGGAACAAAAAGCGTCACAAATTGGCCTGCTGGCGGCGTAAAGTGAGAGGAGCGCCCGCAGTTTGCGTCCGAGTGGAAGTGACCCTGCCTCCCCCGCGAAGCCAGTGGACTCGTCCGTGCGCCTGGCCGACCGGCGCGTCGTTTGATGTGGTCGGACGCCTCGGCGCAGGCGGCTGCGGCCGTGTTCTGTGATGGTCGAGCCCATGATAAGAGACGGGGTCGCCGAATTTCACCCGGCTATTGATCGCACACTGCAGGACAGCTGTAGTGGGAAGCGGGTTCTTGGGGCCAGGGGCGGCGGATTGGGACAGAGGCGTGGGGTAGCTGTGTCCCGCCATATCTTGGAAACATTTTACAGTAACCCAACAGTAGGGCGTTGCATGGGAAGATACAGTCTAAACTCACGTTCGCTCCCTCCATCCCCCGCCCCGCCCCCGCCCCCGCCCCCGCCCCCGCCTCCGCCTCCGCCACCATTGCTTGGGCCTCCGCACGTGACTCGAGCTCATGGGATCCAGTTCAAGGGTGTATCAAGCACCAAACCCTGGCACAAGCACTGATGACCACGCCAATCCCCGACCACTTGACCTGAGGAGGGCGATAACCTGTGTTTGCACTGTCATGGAGGAGCCACGGCTTTGTTCCGCCTTCCGGGCTGGATCCCATTTCGGAACGTTTCGTCCGCTGGACAATGTCCGTCAGGTTCCAGGCGGTAACAAAGACATAGCGCCAGCTGCCCGGGTGGTAGCCGCCTTTTGGCCAGGTCTGATCGATCGGTGCTGTCCCTCACTCAGTGGCGTAGCCAGGATTTTGTTCAGTAGGCGGCTTAATCTGGCCATAGGAGCTCGTTTATTCAAAGGGAGCCCTCTTTGTCGTTGTGAGGGCACTTTTGTTGGATTCGGAGGACATTTTTAAAGCTCAGAAGCCTTCTGTGACGCGTTGGTGTCCGTTTTCATGTTTTAGAAGTCCTACAGTCGTCTCAAACTGTCACAAAGTTCCTTCAAAGGACCTTCTGCCCCAGCCACCCCTTCCCGCTACCATCTCTAACGGCTGCCATGACTCCAGAAACTTTCCTCTTGACTGCGCCGCCGCCCTCACTGATGGGGAGAGGAAGCACGCGCGTCCACGCATGCTGAGCAAGTACACAAGTCCGCACAGGTGCACACGGTGAGGAAGTACACACGGTGATATAGAGAGGAAGTGCACACGCACACGCACGTATACGCAGGTACACACGGTAAGTCAGTACATACGCGGATGCAGAGAAGGAAAACACATGCCCGCGGAAGTACACACGCTGAGGAAGAACACGCGCGCATGAGGTACTCACGCTGACGAAGCCCACATGCCCATGAGGTGCTCACGCTGAGGAAGCTCACACGTCCATGAGTTACTCACGCTGAGGAGGATCACACGCCCTTGAGGTACTCACGCTGAGGAAGCCTGCACGCCGACCGGCGCGGTCGTCTGCGGACCGCCAGACGGCCACGATCCGCGGCCTGACGCCCGGCGCGCGCGCGCCCCGCGGCGACTACCCATCCGCTCCGGTTCCCGCGGCGCCGTGAGGGGATGTGGACGGGTCGCATGCAGCAAGCGATATCCACGTTCGGCTGGACCAATTGGTGATACGAATTCGGACCGATCAATAATTGCAAGCAATACAGTGTTTGGGATGGCAGTACTAGGGGCTGATCCGGATAGAGTGATCGGATGGCTCTCCGACTTTTAGGTCACTGAAAGTCTGTGAGATCGGGGGGGGGGGGGGCGGGGTGAGGGTTGGCTGGGAACAGCCGCCCCTCCCCCCCCCCCCCCTCCCGTATATCTGTCTCGTCTCTGTCTCACTCAAGACCAGAAAGTTGAGCCGCCAATTAACTGACTTGCCGAAACGACTATTCGTGGTTTACAGTCCCAACCTTTGCTGCCTAGTTTGGCAAGAATCCGTTCCATTTGTTCATTACGTGATCAAGGGATTGTTCATTGTTCATTACGTGATGTCCGAAACCTCATTGTTTGTCCAAATAGGTCCCGGTGAAATTGCAGCACACAAGCCCGGCAGCTGCCTATGCATCACTAATATTGACCGTCGAGCCCGTATACGGCGCTGGTATGCGGCGCCTGGTCCGCGCCGGTAAATATAGGCCGAGTGGCTCCGGGCTGGCGTGCCCTCGGCGGGACCCGGCTGCACAGCCGTTGAGCCGCCTCTCCTCATGTGACCAGCCGCGCTGGTGACAAGGACCGACGCCCCTGCGGTCGGCGGCGGGGAACGTCACGGCCCAGCTGGCCCGACTGGACGGCGGGCGAGCGCCAGTCTCCTGTGCCGGACGCGATCCCCGCTGTCTGCCGGCGCCCGGCTGTCTCGTGTGATCAGCTCCACGTGGGTCATGATCCCTACCGTCTGCGGGCGCCCGGCTGTCTCGTGTCGTCAGCTTTACGCGGGTCACGATCCCTGCTGTCTGCCGGCGCCCGGCTGTCTCGTGTTGTGGGCTCCACGCGGGTCACGATCCCCGCTGTCTGCCGGCGCCCGGCTGTCTCGTGTCGTTGGCTCCACGCGGGTTACGATCCCTGCTGTCTGCCGGCGTCCGGCTGTCTCGTGTGGTCAGCTCCACGCGGGTCACGATCCCTGCTGTCTGCCGGCGCCCGACTGTCTCGTGTTGTGGGCTCCACGCGGGTCACGATCCCCGCTGTCTGCCGGCGCCCGGCTGTCTCGTGTCGTCGGCTCCACGCGGGTTACGATCCCTGCTGTCTGCCGGCGCCCGGATGTCTCGTGTCGTTGGCTCCACGCGGGTTACGATCCCTGCTGTCTGCCGGCGTCCGGCTGTCTCGTGTGGCCAGCTCCACGCGGGTCACGATCCCTGGCGTCTGCCGGCGCCCGGCTGTCTCTTGTGGTCAGCTCCACGCGGGTCACGATCCTCGCTGTCTTCCGGCGCCTGGCTGTCTCGTGTCGTTGGCTCCACGCGGGTCACGATCCCTGCTGTCTGCCGGCGCCCGGCTGTCTCGTGTGGTCATCTCCACGCGGGTCACGATCCCTGCTATCTGCCGGCGCCCGGCTGTCTCGTGTCGGCCCGCGCCGGTCACGATCCCCGCTGCGGTGCGCTGGTCGTGATGGAGGCGCGCCGCTGCTGCCGCATGACCAAAACGGGAGCTCCGATTAGTCGGGATTGGCTCCCGAGAGCTCCGATTAGTCATGACCGGCTCCTGGGAGGTCCAACAAGTCGGGACCAGCTCCCGGGAGCTCCAGCAAATGGCTCCCGGGAGCCTTAACAAGTCGGGACTGGCTCGAGGGAGCTCCAACAAATCGGGTCGGGCTCCCGGAAGCTCCAACAAGCCTGGATCAGCTCCCGGGAGCCTCAACAAGTCGGGATCGGCTCCTTAGAGCTCCAGCAAGCCGGAACCGGCTCCCCAGAGCTCTTATTACTGGGGGCCAGCTACAGGAAGCTCCATTAAGTTGGGACCAAGTCGGATCGGCTCCCGGAAGCCCCAACGAGTCGGGATTGTCTCCTGCTGTCTCCGCATAGTCTGGTCCGCCTCCTGGAGCTCGGAGCGGCTGGGACGGGCTCCCAGCTCGCCCTGCAATACAGCTGCGGTGGAGCACCGGGGCATGTGAAGATACAGGCGTGGTCCGTGGGAGTGGCGCGCCGGCGGCTCGCGAGGTGTGCGTGGCGGCAGATGGCGGGGGTCAAGGACGCCATGCGCTGTCGACCCATGATGCTGCTCCACTGTGTGGAATAGCGTGGACAGCTGATGAGTGCTTGAGAGTCCAGATTGTATTTCGGGATAGCATTCCTGGGTCATGAATCCCTGATGCTCTAGAATCTAGGATCCGTTCTAAAATTTTCACAAACGGTTTTCTGGCATCCCGGGTTTTGTGTAATTTTGTGGACAGGTTTGAGATCCATAATTTCTTTGAAATTGTGCTAAAGGATGATCCAGTCGATCCATCACATTTATTCGTGCCAAGGGTGTGCATCTTTGTGAAACAAACTTGCCGCCAGGCAGAGGCTGGACGAACTGTGCCCTTTTCGAACTGTAAGCTGAGTTGCAGCAGGCTGCCAACATTGCACTTTTTGCCACGTGACTGTCGTGATATACCACTCTGTTGAGTGTAATTTGGCTGTAATGGAGCAGAGCCCTGGCAGCACATTTCAGGACTGAAAAAGCACCCTCTGTAGGTGTTCTATCTTACCAAAAGCCCTCTGGGAATAGCTATTTATTACCCACTTAGATGACCGGCATAGGTGGCGCGCTCCGCTGGGCGCGCCTCACGTTCTCGGCGAGCGCTTCGACTAGCCTGGAATTGTTTGAAGAGCGAGCGGGTCAAAAAAAGACGGTCTGGCCGTGGGAATAAGGAAAAGGCGTCCCGACAAACGAACTGACGCACGCCGCGCCGTGTTGCCACCCGTGGTCGGCGTGGAGCGGTGTGTCTGGATCGGCGAGCAGCCTGGGATCTCCACACCCCTGGTGCATTGGAGACATGTCACGCGCAAACCACTCCCATGCCGAGTGAGAGAGCGAGAGAGAGTGTGTGTGTTGCCCGTACAGCAGAGGTGCGTGTTACCACAGGCCACTGTGCCGTCATCGTTACTGCACGTTAATGATTCCGCAGCACTTCCCGACGCGGTGCCTGCGGTCGCATTAGTCCGTACGTTACGGCCAGAACGAATGTTTAGCATGCGCTTAGCAGTTCCAATCGTGACTCATGCCCGTGCGTTCATACGCCGCAAGATGAACCGTGCAGCGCCACCCCTGACCCGGCTCGAAGCGCAGTGCGTCGGAAGCAGGTCATCCGGCAGCGCAGTGGGTCATCCGCGACCCCCGACCGCCGCCACTGACACGCCCACCGACGCCAGACGGGCCGTGACGTCTGCGGCCGGGACAGGCTCCAGGCGTGCTCGCGGTAACGTACGGCTCTCTTCCGCAGACGGGCTCCGGCAAGACGTACACCATGGGCACGGGGTTCGAGGTGGACACGTGCCCGGAGGCGGCGGGCATCATCCCGCGCGCCGTGGACCACCTGTTCCGCGGCGTGCGGCAGCGGCAGGAGGCGGCCCGCCAGGCCGGCCAGCCGCCTGCCGACTTCAAAGTCAGCGCCCAGTTCATGGAGCTCTACAACGAGGAGATCATCGACCTGCTCGACCAGTCCGGAACCAACCGGGTCAGTCCGAGGCGCGCGGGCCGTGCTGTGGTGAGATGCGCGGAGGCGGTCACTATGAGACGAACAGGGGCCGCAAGTGGTGACGGGTGCCGTGGTGGGACGCGCGGGGCGGTCACCAGGAGGCGAACAGGGGCCATGAGTGGTGACGGGTGCCGTGGTGGGACGGCGGGGGTGGCCACCATGGGGCGAAGAGGGACCGGTAGAGGTGACTTGGAAGGAGCGCACGGGTCTCCGGGAGCTGCACTAGGAGGCGCGCGGGCCGTGCGCGCCTCCTTTGCCGTATAGTTGGACGCGCGAGGGAGGTCAACAGAAGATGAACAGGGGCCGGGACAAGTGACAGGGGACGGACGCACGGCTCTGGGGGAGCTGCACTGGGAGGCGCGCAGCGATCGGGGGGAGGGGAAGCCAATGGCTGGGAGCGTGGTGGCAAGGAGGCAGTGCATGGGGATGGGGATGGGAGGGGGTGGATCATTAATATAAATTTCTGGTGGTCAGGTATTTAATAACTTTTATAAGGTCCACAATGTGATATCCTTATCATGACGGCTATTATCAGCAATAGACTAAAAGCAGAGGCTACTTACCAGGGCATCAACACCACATGCAAAAAGTTAGAAATGGCCTTTCCCCTTAACCAAACAGGAGCAGCTGGTTTCATCAGTCATAATTGCGGTTTAGGTAAAAGGCTGCCCTCGAATGAAGATTCCGACATGGGAGGAACTAGTGTCATACCTCGTCGATCCAATCATGGAATCATCCGCAAAACCCCCGGAGGTGATGACGCTCAAGCATCACTGGCTTCCATTATGCATCCCAAGCTTCGGTGTAAAGTGGTGGGCCTAGCAGACCCCAGCGAAAGGCGCAGAGCGCAGCTGACGAAGCGCTTTTCTGGTGACACATCCGTGCTCCAGTCCTGCGTGCTCAATCTGCTCAGACAGTGTTGTGACGGGAGTACCGATGATACTATCGATGTGACTGGTGCCCACGTGCCCTGGATAACGTGCGGCTCCCGTTTGACCTGGTTTAGGCGTATCTGCTGGGAAACAAACCCATCCAAGGTCGTGAGGGGTCATCGTATGAAGAGGACTCCAGCCAGCACCGGAGAAAGTGCAGGCTAGCGAAGAAGATAAGCAAAGGCGTGTGAAGTAGGGAATCTATTGATTTTTCGGTCGAGGTTAAGCAAACTTTTTCATTTAAGTTTAATTTAGTTCAAAGCCTAAAAATTATACGTGTTCAGATGGTTTGGGTTTTCGAATGTCATACTTGCCAACCATGACCTCAGGGTACGTAACGTGACGGTGACGTCAATCTGTTGCTGAACCGCCACTATATAGATACAGGGTACCTTCCTAGCAGCGTGATGGAATCATTTTGCTATCGGTTTTTGTTGCTGCCTTTTTGACAGTCATCGATTAGCGGATTGTGTCCAGTGTGTTTCTAGTGTAGGATGACACAATGCAATGCTGCAATGCTGTAATGGCCCCGGGCATGTGCGGTATTTTTCATCGATGTTTGGACTCAAATGTTGTTTTTTTATTATACGGAAAAACTGCGAGATATATTTCATACTTTGAAATAACCCATGTTCTCAGTGTACTTATTGTAACGAATCCACCATAATTTGTCTAACGTAAACACTTATTCGCCCGCATATGCAAATATTAAATCAATTTGATAATAGGGGCGGGGGATGTGCCCTAGCGGCCACTAGGTTAATGCGTCCCTGTTAATGGCACCTGTATGATCTGTGCAGACCGTATTGCTTACAGGTTTCTAGACTGCACAGAAATAAACACAGTACAAAAAGCTTCTGAACGTCATTGTCGTTGCCAACTTGAAGCAATCGGCATATCTTGTTTATGCTTAGTTATTGATCTAAAGCTGTAGTTTGTCTCAAACAGCGATGATGTAGCCTAAACTTTTTGTATATTTGGGATAGGCTGGATTTGATGAAGATTACTGCGGCTCATAATGGATGAAGCATGCAAATCATGAGAACACACGAACCGTAGAAAGCCGTGAGAGCACATCAACTGTACCATGCAGTTGCTTTGACCAACACTAACTGTGTCAGTGTGGGAAACATCATCTTCTTTACATTTCACCGTGAGTATAACCTAGCGCACTTTCGTGACAGCTTTTAGCGAAGTCCTGGGAGTAAAAAACCACGTAAAACCCCGAGATGGGCTGGCCTTTTCACTCAAGCACCAAATGCCCAGAGGTTTTTCTAACCACAGGTGAATGCAGTGACAGGGGGCGGGGGGGGGGGTCGATGAGGAGGGACGTAATGACCGGGGCGGCTATACGGGGGGACAAAGTGGTCTGGGGCGGTGATGAGGAGGGATATAGTGGCCTTTGGCGGTGACGGCGGGGGGGGGGGGGGGGTCGATGAGGAGGGACGTAATGACTGGGGCGGCTATACGGAGGGACAAAGTGGTCTGGGGCGGTGATGAGGAGGGATATAGTGGCCTTTGGCGGTGACGGGGGGGGGGGGGGGGTCGATGAGGAGGGACGTAATGATCGGGGCGGCTATACGGAGGGACAAAGTGGTCTGGGGGCGGTGATGAGGAGGAGTATAGTGGCCTTTGTTGGTGACGGGGCGGGGGGGGGGTCGATGAGGAGGGACGTAATGACCGGGGCGGCTATACGGAGGGACAAAGTGGTCTGGGGCGGTGATGAGGAGGGGTATAGTGGCCTTTGGCGGTGACGGGGAGGGGGGGGGGTTCGATGAGGAGGGACCGTAATGATCGGGGCGGGCTATACGGAGGGACAAAGTGGTCTGGGGCGGTGATGAGGAGGGATATAGTGGCCTTTGGCGGTGACGGGGCGGGGGGGGGGGGGTCGATGAGGAGGGACGTAATGACCGGGGCGGCTATACGGAGGGACAAAGTGGTCTGGGGCGGTGATGAGGAGGGGTATAGTGGCCTTTGGCGGTGACGGGGGGGGGGGGGGGGGTCGATGAGAAGGGACGTAATGACCGGGGTGGCTATACGGAGGGACAAAGTGGTCTGGGGGCGGTGATGAGGAGGGGTATAGTGGCCTTTGGCGGGTGACGGGGCGGGGGGGGGGGGGGGTCGATGAGGAGGGACGTAATGACCGGGGCGGCTATACGGAGGGACAAAGTGGTCTGGGGCGGTGATGAGGAGGGATATAGTGGCCTTTGGCGGTGACGGGGGGGGGGGGGGTCGATGAGGAGGGACGTAATGACCGGGGCGGCTATACGGAGGGACAAAGTGGTCTGGGGCGGTGATGAGGAGGGGCATAGTGGCCTTTGGCGGTGACGGGGAGGGGGGGGGGGGGGGGGGGGGTTCGATGAGGAGGGACGTAATGATCGGGGCGGCTATACGGAGGGACAAAGTGGTCTGGGGGCGGTGATGAGGAGGGATATAGTGGCCTTTGGCAGTGACGGGGAGGGGGGGGGGGTCGATGAGGAGGGACGGTAATGACCGGGGCGGCGATACGGGGGGACAAAGTGGTCTGGGGCGGTGATGAGGAGGGATATAGTGGCCTTTGGCGGTGACGGGGAGGGACGTGGTGGCTGAGGGGAGCGACACGGCCATGGGGAGGGGCGTAGCGGTCAGGTGCGGTGATGGAGAGGGACACAGCGGCATAGCGGCATAGCGACCAGGGTCACAGTGATGAAGGCACAGTGGCGCAGTGTGCACTGCCACGCAGTGATGGAGACACTGGGGCTTGAGGAAGTGTCCGGAAGACACTGTGACCTAGGGTCATGGTGGAGATGGACATTGGACACCGTATGATTGAGGGCGGTAGATGGCTCACCAGGACCAGGCATTGGTAAGGGCTTGGTGGGTGCCTGAAAGCAGCTCGTTTGTCCCGTTGGCTTGTTGTCGGGCACGCCCATTATATCCTGGTCAAGGACATGTTGTCCATGAGGGGTCAGGAAGGACTGTCCAGTGTCGTCGCAGAGCCTGTCATTGTTCTTGAGTGGAAACGGTCTCATTAAGTGTCGTGGTCACCTGGATGTTACTTACAATACATTGTTCGCCGTTTCGAAAACCACGAAATGGAAATCAAGGCGGTAAATGTTTTCCGCCCGGATATATTGTAAGTTGTCAGGGACGTTAGGAACCTGGCTGCCATTGTCTGCCCGTCGCACTGAAGTCGCTCCGCTGTCACCCGGCCGCAGGGCAGCAAGTCCAGCATCCGGATCCACGAGGACGCCGACGGCGGCATCTATACGCTGGGCGTGACGTCACGGGTGGTGACGTCGGCCGAGGACTGCCTCAAGTGTCTGCGGGTGGGCGCGCTGAGCCGCACCACGGCCAGCACCCAGATGAACGTGCAGAGCAGCCGCAGCCACGCCATCTTCACGCTCGTCATCAAGCAGATGCGCGTGGCGCGAGCTGATAGCGTGAGTGGAGGCCACCAGGGAGGGGCAGGAGCAGGGGGACGGGCGGCGGCGCAGTGCTGCTGTGACGGGCGGCGCTGTCAGACTGGAAGGAGGCCCCGGCTGATAAGTCGCAGGACGCACATGAGAACCGGCATCCAAATGGCCTTGACATGACCGGTTCACAAACAGATCACTTGCATGCAGCAACGATGCTGTTGATGCCGCCAGCGCAGTATTCGTATATCCGCGTATGACATCCAAATACCTGATAGCAATTCGCATATGATGGTGTATTTATTCACATATGCGCACGCACACGCTGTTCCTCCACCCGGACCTGCAGCGGAGATGATGTGACGGCACGAAGGGCCGGTCCAGGGGGCTGCGGACCGGGTGGTGGCCCCCAAGATAGTCTCAGTAGGGCAAATGACGCACATTTCTTGACTTCGAAGACGGATTTAAGAACTTTGGCTAGGGTATATTTGTCACGTTGCGACACACACACAAGGCAATCAGAGACGTAGTACGATAAGGTTTTGCAAGTCAGGTAATTTCCCCACGCACACCGGGGTTGCCCCCCCCCCCCCCCTCAGACGGCGTGGGGAGCACGTGTCGGCACACTTATCCTCGTCTGTCTCTACCAGCAAGCTGGTGAATGGAATGCCCATCAGGCAAGGTCATTTGACTTCAGTTTCAAGGGGACATGTCGTCGTTCCCCTGGCTGCGTCTTTTCTACTGGAGGATCTGTGGAGAGCACTGCAGAGGCTCCCACCCCTCTGAGAACAGCGCGGAATGCGGAATAACTGCCATTGATGTGGTACTGATAACAGGGCGAGCAGGTTATGCCGGGCTTGAGCACCGACGCTTTTGTGACGTGGACAGACGAACCCAGCCGAACAACAAACAGATCAGATTACCGATAGCAGTTGCGGTGCCCTCACAGGAGACTGCGGCGCCACATGTGACGTCACGGCCTTCATGACAAACATGCGGACACAATTAGAAACCAGCATGCTGTGGATCGCGTTCAGTAGGGAACGTAACTGTGTTATGTTAGGGACACGCAGAAGTTTACCTTGAGACGCATTAGCTGTGCACGCTGGCGCGTCGTTGTTCCGTCTTAGATGATGAAATTCCGTGTTAAGGCGCATACCGCAAATAGAGTCCCCCTCATCAATTTTCTTCTGCATTGCCCCCCATAACCATTCAGCCAAGAATCTTCTGCCAGCGTTCGCAGTGTATGAATCCGCCTTGGGTCATACTAGACGCTGACGTTGGTGTGCCTCTCTTTGCCATGGTACTCGGTCAAATGCCTGGCGTGCGAGGCACTAGTGCATGCGCCACGCTCATGTAGAGACATGCCCCACAGACAAATATTTGCATTGGCCTCTGTTTTCGACACCAACCAGTGTTTCTGGCGGCTCGAGGCCCGTCCGTTGTCTACATAGCTGGAGATTCCGTGGAGGTCGGGGTGGTCCGGATTCCCCAGGGGGCCCTAAAAACCTGAAAAATGGGGTTCGGGGTCCAAGGGCCCTTTGGGAGTGCTCTTCGGCTCGCGAAACGTGAAGAAAAATGCAGCACTGAACGGGGAACTCCAAAAAGAGATTCTTTCCCAAAAACAATGTTCGGGTAGCAGCAAATCGCCCCTTATGGATGTTCCGAGGGACCATCCTGAAACCCCGGGTTCCTCTGACTATTCAGTGGGCCCTTCCTGGTCATGGGGTGCACTCTGGTCGCTTAAGAGTCCCTATGGCTACGTAGCCCCTCCCCCCCCCCTCCCCACCTTGACTTCCAAATTCCCTTCAGGACACCAACGGGACCGCTCAGGGCCATGTGTGCCTAGGGCCTCTGGCCGCTTATGGGTTGTTTTAGTTGCTTAGGACCGTTCTGACCACTGAAAGGCTTCTCTGACCATTGAGAAGCCCTGGTCGGTGACGTTTTCTTGCGATTGTTTAGATGTGTTGCTGGCCGACCAAGGCTCCCACGGTCACCAGTGGACACCTTTGATTGTTCAGGCGGTCCTTCTGGGCACTTAAATGTTAGTATGGCTAGCGGGGGCCCACTGGCCGCTCAGTGGCCCGTTGGGTCGCTAGAGATATTGAGCTATATCATCACGACCCTTCGTATACTCGGGGCACTGTTATTTATTCAGGAGCCTTTGGCCGCCGAGGGGCCCTTCTATCGCCCAAGGGCTCTTCTGGCAACTCCTTGGCCCAGGGGCACAGGCATGGGGAACGTACTTCCGTTAAGGTCCGACGGTCCAATTCTATTCTGAGAAAATTTGACAGAATTTCGCTGTTGAAAACTGTGTTAAATATACCACGATATTGCTCCCATTTTCGCGTACCTTCGCCGCGGCTGTTGTTGGCAGAGTGCCTCAAAACGGGAATTTAAATTGTGTAAGCAAGCGCGGAAGAGGTGCAAAAGAACCGCAAGATGGGTGTAATTTGTTTTAGTTCACAGCTCTGTGAAAAGCAGGCCTTTAACACGTGAATCACGTGAGGCTAGTAGGAAAAGTACGCCTTAGAGCGGTTGTGCTACTATGGACTATCTACGACGTGGCACGTAGAATGCGACCACCGACTAAGTGGTCCATGGCGGTGCTAGCGTACTTCAGTGATAGCTGCTGGAGACTTCCTAGAACCGAAGAAAATAGTACAAAGGGAGAAATAACTGGTGAGTAGGGAAAAAAGAAAGCCACCATAAATAGCAAAATATGAGGGGTTTTCGCTATATAAACAGAAAAAAAAACTAGACAAAAATTACCTTTCTATATAACAGTGTTTTATTGCCGTGCTAAATACCATAAACAGCGGACGACAGTCGCTCCAATTGTTGCGTAACCTCGACGAGCTATTTTTTGGCGCGCTCAGTGGGCGATGGCGCGCTCAGTGGGCTGGGGTTATTGGGGGCGTCGGGTCCAGCTCGCACCGCCAATGGCTTGTTTGTAGGATTTGAATGAAAAGTTGAATCTCTCGACCTGTGGGTGGTTTATAGCATGCGGCAATTTATTCAAGACTGATGGGTGCGACGATTACCACGCTATCATCACGGTGGCTTCAGGTGAGTTGACAAACAGCAAGGTAAATGAATATATGTTTTATTGCAGTTGGAATGGGATCATTCCACTAATTGGGATCTTGGGAGATTCTGGTGCTTCATTCCGTAGCTGTCATTCCCAGTTAGATATTTGTATGAGGACAGAGGAGTAGTTTTCCATTCAGTTGGGGCACGAGCCCTCTAGCCATGAAGAGCAAGTGTGCGGAATTCGGGGGAAAATCGGTTTCAACGCGTTTTGTGCGTAGGGTTGGCCATTTTCTCATGTTCATCTCCTCCCCTCGACCTAATTTTCCGGGACTCCTCTCTTGGTTTAGGACCACAGAATTTTCCCGAACTGGCATGCTTCTCGATTGTTCTCAACATACCAGTTGTCGCAACAAGCAACCAGACCAGGGGCGTCGATTCTTGTATTCTCTTGCAAGACTTGTCTCGCAAGACCTGTACGCTACAGAAACTGCATCTTCTTGAGGCATCGTAGGCTGGCCCGTGACTACTATGCTTCTCAAGTCCGGACTATTTTACAGATGATGCATAAATACAGAACACAGTCTCTTGGTTAAAATAAAGTGGCTGGAATCCATGGAGAAACCAATTTGGGGGAGCTTAGTTCGTCGGGACCTCGGCCCGCATCCCCCCCCCCCCTGTCACTCCTTTGCGAGAATTGACGTCGCTGGTAGCAGCCCTCCCACGTGGCCACTGTCTTCCAATCATGAAGGCCCTCCATTTGTTTTAAGGGATCCCTCGCCCCTTCTATTATATTCTCAAAGCTAGGCCGGACATATGCCTGGAATGGAAATAACGGTTTCGTGGGCGTCTGTTGACCAGTTGGTACGATACCAGGGGCGCAGCCAGGACGTCCTTCGGTGGGGAGGGGGGGGGGGGGGGCGGAGCTCGGTGAGCACGTAGGATGCCGATGTTGACTCTGTCGGGAGCCATCTATGGTGAGAAAACGAGAAAATAATGCGGATCAAGGTGGATAGGCTATTGTCGCTCACCCTTGGCTGCGCCCTTGTACGATGCACAAGTGCGCAATTGCACATCGTCCTCAAATCAGTCCCCCCCCCCCCCCACTGCGGGGACCTGCGCGCGCGCAGTAGTGGTGTGCGGCGACCAGGGGCTCTGATCTGGTGCTGTCTGGTTGTTGTACCTGACGCTTTTCGTCCTGGTGTGCTCCGGGTGAGGCCACGGTGTGACTTATCCTAACTCAGCGCCATCCTTACCTTATTCACGGAAGATCCAATGTGCTGAATATCTGTCGGAGCTTTTTTGGTGCGCCTGAACAAATGTATCGACAATGCGGAATGTTCCCTTTCCAAGGAAATCGTGTGCACGCCGTCTATTGTGAAATACGTTCGAGCAGAGGTCGTCGCACAGCGGCGAGAAATTTGAATCGAAAGCTGTAGAATGTGTGTACATTTTTTCATTCCTCTTATTAATTATCCACTAATACCGGTGACAGAGTGAGAAGCATGGAGCCAGAATGCAAATGGTTAAATATGCTTAATGGTCTAAATTAGATACATATGAATCTACGAGGAGGAAGAACAAAAAGACCGCGGTAAGAGTCAACCAAGTGTTGAGCGCTCCGCCTACAGGAAACGTTTCTTTCCCGCTTGAACTGGGGTCACCCTCTGAAGGGAGAGCTGACGTAGTCGGAGGCTTGGTCGCGTACATCAGTACTGACTCGACACTGAGGTGGGAACCGGAGCCGCAGCCGGCCTCTGTCACGTGACGCTGCTCCGGCAGGGGTTCGCCGGCGAGACGGAGTCGGGTGACGGCGTGAGCAGCGAGGGCGGCGAGCAGCCCATGGAGTTCGAGACGCTCTCGGCCAAGTTCCACTTCGTCGACCTGGCCGGCTCGGAGCGGCTGAAGCGGACGGGCGCCACCGGCGACCGCGCCAAGGAGGGCATCTCCATCAACTGCGGACTGGTGAGCGGCCGGGGCGCCACCGCGCGCTCCTCGTTAGACGATCAGCTGTCGGCGGGATCACGGAAAGCGCCAATATTGCTGCCAAGTGAGGACCGCGAGCACCCAAGGAAGACGGGTGACCCACAATGTAGATAGATTTGAACTTTTTCGTGAACGTGGAAACTTAGTTATGAACCTTTGAATGTATGTCGTCGAGTTTGCTTGGTGAAATCGGTAAACATCGCAAGTCGGTTTTTTAAGTCATGTTCATGCGAAACGCGGGCGTTCAAGCGATTTACTTCAAGACTTCCGGGACGGGTTGGCATAGTTGATAGGGCAAATGCTTCCACCATGTACGGGAAGTCGTTAGTTCGAGAGCGGCTTACGATGGTGACAGGGATGACCGACAGCAACGGCAAGCTGCCTGGCTGCTAGCGGCCGCCACCGGTGGATGGTCAGCTGGGTGTGGTGCCATTGCGCATGATGACCCAAGGGGGTCGAATCATTCCTTTCGCAACATTATTATATCTCCAGTACTTTTCGGCAAAGCAAATGCCAGATGTCTGGGCCACGTCCTGCATACGCTGGTTAAGTCATGTTTTGTCCTTATATCCAAGGCAGAAACAATGTCAAAGGCGGAACATTCACGAGAGAAGTGGGGCAATGACAGGGGGACTGACGATGGTGATTTGGGTTGTAGGGGGCGCCGATTGCATTGGTCATATGGCGCCCATGTAATGGGAGGTTGCGTCCGTACTAAACAGCGAACAGCGTGTTTGGAAACTCGCTGTGCTGCGGAGTCTGTCTACCAGACGGTCCGCGCGTGCGAGCTTGCGCCCTCCCCGTCCTGACGTCGCCGGAGCGGCCAGCCCTGACACCGGCGCCCGCCGCCCCTCAGCTGGCCCTCGGCAACGTCATCTCGGCGCTGGGCGACGAGTCGCGCAAGGTGTCGCACATCCCGTACCGGGACTCGAAGCTGACCCGGCTGCTGCAGGACTCGCTCGGAGGTGAGGCCGCCCCTGACGCGCGCCGGGCCCGCCCCCGTGACCCGGGGTCGGCGTCGCGCCGCCCACCACGGCCGGGGCCAGCCTCTGGTGCCGCGGCACTCGCGCGGAGCTGCTGAATGGACTGTCGGAAGTGCGGTGGGCGATCTGTTGGATCGTCCGAAGTCCGTAGCTGCGATTCAGACTGAAGTACTTAGGGAAGAGCGCCCCTCTCTATGGCGGAAGCGCTTCCGACTGTGCCGCGTCTCGGTCTCGATGTCGCTTAACAGAGATAGGTTCGCACCCTCCCCCCCCCCCCCAAGTTGTGCCCCCCAGACAACATTCATCCATTGAGAACCAACACGGGTCCAACGTTGAGTGCAGCTTAAGCCTGGCAAAGCGTTTCTTTCCGTGCAACGCCTTTGTGCATAACGTAGACGTCGCATGGCTGGGCGGAGACTTGATCCCCACCCCTCCGCGGCGGGGTCCATGGGCGCCGTTTGACGGCCGTGTCGTCTGGTGTGTGTTCGGCCGCGTCGGCACCGATGTGGCGTCCTGTTGAGCGTGCCCGCGTACCCCGGCCGGCCCGCAGGCAACAGTCGGACGGTGATGATAGCCTGCGTCTCGCCCTCGGACGCCGACTTCATGGAGACGCTCAACACCCTCAAGTACGCCAACCGCGCCAGGAACATCAAGAACCGCGTCACCGTCAACCAGGACAAGACGTCGCGCACCATCTCGCTGCTGCGGCAGGAGATCCAGCAGCTGCAAGCTGGAGCTCATGGAGTACAGGCAGGTACGTCAGCGGATGGGCCGTGGTGCGCGGGCCTGGTGCCCAATACAGACCAGACTAGATGATGAGTACAGACGGAGTATAGATAAGATGCGAGTGTGGAGTTCCGACGGTGGTGGACGTAGACAAAGTATGAAGTCTCGGCATTGATGAAGCCAGACAAGATATGAAATCCCAGCGTATGTCAGTGGCTATTCCAGGTTGATTTCACTATTCCCCATGTCCATGCGCGTTAGATGCGATCAGCATGCAGCTTTCTGCAACTGAACTTCGTGTCGTATATCCTGGGTCATCCTAGGATAAGGGCAGCGTGACTCGAAATGATGATTGCCAATGCAAGCCTCGTGGCAAGAGTCCCGTCGGTCCACGGCTATCTGGGTCGTCTAGCGGACGTTGCGCAAAGACGCTTTGTTGGCGTTAGGAAGACTGAGAGAATGACGTGAAATGAAAAAAAATGGAGGATAATGAAAAATAAGGGGATGATGAGGTTAATGTGAAAACGTTAGATGATACTGAAACGCATGCGTACGTTGTTTGACGCCTCTCAAACCCACAATGGCAGTTCCTGTTTGCTTCACCATGCGAGGACCGTGCCCCCCACGTGGGACCGATGATTGGAACGCATCCACACGCCTGCTAAACTTATTGGTAATTGGTTTCAAGTAAGTTGGTTATGGTGAGAATGTCAGCAAAACCGAACTTTCTTAGGGGCTGATGTCCTCTATAAAGTGGGCGGCGCTGGTGCATTATTTGCGTTGTTGAGTATTGTATTGTATATGTATGTATGTATAGTATGTATATATATATAGTTATATATATATTATATATGTATTGAGACGCGCGATCGACTGCCGTCGGGGTATGCGTCCGTCCTGAGGTAGAGCGGCAGCCTGAAATGGAGCCTCACGCCTATAGGTCACTTCAGGGGAAATTGTGATGTGCGATTACCACCGTAGTCGCCGGCGCTGATACTTAACTACCCAAAGTTGGCGCGCTAATGGCAGCCATTCGAGCGCGCACGACCTTCTGCGTCCAGAGGCGAGAATTTGTGCCGATACGATTGCCGTTCTATTCTCGTCAGCTCGTGCTCGTACTGTGTGGCTGCGGCCTCAGGTTGGCCAGCCCAGGGCCCCGTGCCGATCCTTGTTGTGTCAGTCTTGTGGGGCTTGTGAAGTAAAGCTTTGTTCTCGTTTTCGCGATGCTGGAGAACAATGCGCCTACCGAATCGGTACGAATCGATTGCAAACATTGCAATGCAACGTGGTAACAGAGCTACTGGCAATTTGACGTCAAGACAGGCTTCGCTTACGGCCCGTCTCGTGCAGATCCATTCACAACGATCTGAGAGCCTGTCCTGGGATCGAGCCCCGAGTGTGACCTCACGGGTCAGCTGACGCGGCATGCCTGACGCGCCCTCCGGCAGGGCAAGCGCGTGGTCACCGAGGACGGCACGGAGGCCATCAACGACATGTACCACGAGAACAACATGCTGCAGTCGGAGAACGCCAACCTACGCACGCGCATCAAGGCCATCCAGGAGACGATCCAGGGCCTGACGGCCCGTAACGCACAGCTGCTGGCCGAGCAGGCCGCCGGCGACTGGATAGGCGAAGGTAAGGTGTCCACACATCGTCAGAATACGCAGGCTGGGACGGTGCCGGGGGGTACTGTGTGCACACCTTGCCCATGTATTCTTTGGCAGGGAGGTCTCTTACGCATGCTGCAGGCCCAGTCTTCGTAATGGCGGAGAGTGCAGGGACTAGGGAGTACATGCCAGCAATCCGTTGAATGTCATATTTCAAGAAATCATCAGAGGCGAAATGTGCTGATGTAGCTTTAGCCGAGGATGTTCCCCTTTACGATATGTACCATTCAAGGAGCCATGGAGCGATGTGGGCGCAGATTAAGTGTACTTTCGACTTAGGACTCAGACTCACTTTCCTACTCTCTCAGACTCTCACTCTGGTCTTTCTCTGGTTTCTCTGTCTGCGGTATCTGGCCTCTCGGGTCTCTCTCCCTCTCTGGTCTTTCTCTCCCTTTCCCCGATCTCTGGTCTCTCTGGTCTCTCTCCGCTTCTATGCTCACCCAGCACCGCTGTCCTGGTGGTAGCCGATGAAGCACTGGTGCTCTGCGCCGTTCGCAGACGCCGGCAGCGACATGACGCAGGTGGTCGCCAAGTACCTGCAGGAGATAGAGGAGCTGCGCGCCCGCCTCATGGAGTCGGAGAACACGTGTCAGATGCTGCGGAAGCAGGCGGCCAACCGCAACCTGTCGCGGTTGACCCTGAGCCCGCGGCCGGCCGGCGCGGGTGAGCGGCCCGCCACCTCCCGTGTCTGCCCTACCGTTTCGGTGGTGGTCTGTGCGGCCCAAGCACCGCGGACGGGAGAACCGTGCCGTGCGCTATGCGCTGACGTTCTCTGGTGCCTCATACATTTGACAGTGTTGGCGGATCAGCCTTACAGTGCGTCATGGGTGTCAGGTGATGTGTGTACTCTGCTGAATTATTAGCACAGCAAATGCGCCGTTTGTTACGCCAGTCATGTGACTCCTGAGGTGATGCCCGCCCTGCCGTCCGTATAGTGCCTTCCCGCCCTGCGGCTCGTATAGTGATTACCCGCCCTGCCCCATGTAGTGTCGTCTTGCCCTGCCGTCCTGATAGTGCCGTCCCGCCCTGCCGTCCGTTGTCCTGTTCCGCCCTGAGGACGGACGGCCGCCCGTCCTGGTCCTGCCGCAGACGTGGTCGCCTTGTCCCCGGGCGCGGTCCGCGCCATGGTCCGTCGGTTTGAGGAGCTGACGCCGGACCGGCTGGACCAGACCTTCACCGTGCCGACCGGGCAGGCCTCCCTGGCCGCCATCTGCCTGTCGCTGTCCTCACCGGCCGGTGGCGCGTCCCCCGGCTGTAACCTGTCCGCTGAGAACTCCTCCCCGGCCGCCATCTGCCTATCGCCATCCTCACCGGCCGGTGGCGCCTCCCCCGGCTGTGACCTGTCTGCTGAGAACTCTTCCCCGGCCGCCATCTGCCTATCGCCGTGCTCGCCGGCCGGTGGCGTCTCCCCCGCCTGTGACCTGTCCTCCGAGAACTCCTCCCCGGCTGCCATCTGCCTGTCGCCACCCTCGCCGGCCGGTGGCGCCTCCCCCGGCTGTGACCTCTCCGCCGAGAACTCCTCCCCGACGGCTGACTCCGGCCCGTCTGCGCCCCCGCTCCTCTGCTGCGGTCAGTGGCTGCACGCGACTGCCTTCCCGGCTCTGTCTTTAACTGCTCGCACTCATTCTGTCCTGTCGTGTCCCTGCCCAGTCTTATCGCGTCCAATCTTGGTCCCGTCCCGGTTGCGTTCCTGTTCTGCCCTCTCCTCCTCCCCTCCCTCCTCTCTTCTCCCCTTCCCCTCTTCCCCTTTCCCCCCCCCTTCCCTTGTCTCGCCTCGCTTCGCCTCCCGTCACTTCCTTCCCTCCACTTCCCTTCCCTTTTAAGCAGGGTATCACTGTGAACTGCGGATAATTGTGTTAGAAATAGCCTTCCATGGTTTAAAACCCGATGCAAATGTACCACAGTCCATGTAAGTTGTTGGGTCTAAATATCCCCACATCGCCGCTTTTACCCGATTCCGCCTGTCATATGGCTGGTTATTGGCGATGGTGTGTCGGCGTCAGCGGCCGTGAGCGCCGCGCGGTGCCGCCGGCGGCCGTGAGCGCGGGACAGACGAGCTGTATGTAATGATTGCCGGCCGCAGGCGGCGTGGAGCTGTCCCTGGTCGAGACGGGCAGCGTGCACGAGCTGATCGAGGAGGCGCGCCGGGACCTGGAGCGGGACCGCACCAAGAAGCACCTGCGCCGCTCGAGCAGCGAGGGCGGCCGCTCCGGTGACCAGGACGGACAGTCGAGCGACAGCGGCGACGACAAGGGTGCGTGGCTGGGGCGGCCGGTCGGCTGCCAGGCTGGCCGGCCGTGGCAGCGGCCCGTTGGCCCCGTCACCTGTCCCCCAGACGGCCGAGGCTCGCTTCAAAGCCAGCCAGGCGGCCGCCGCCCCCGGAGCCGGCGCCGTCACCCTGTGACTAACGCCGCTGGCCGGCGCAGCATGCCCCGGCCGCCACGGTAACGCGTCCCCGTCGGCGCCGCACGCTGTCCCGGCCGCGACCCGGTCCTGCGGCGGCTGCGCAGTCTGGGGCCAGCCCGACACAGCTGTTCGCGGCTTAACATGGCTCGGCGGTCTAACTCCGGCGCCGTGACGCCGTAACGTAAGCCGCGACGGAAGGTCCGGGCTGGGAGTGGCGTCGGCTCGCGGAGCTGCGCGCTCCACCCTCGTCCCGGTGTGCACGCTCTCTGTACTCTGTGTCGTGCGCACTCACATGTCCGCCCCGTAATGCTGTTTTGTTCTCGGTCAGCGCCTCTGCCTTGTCGTTTTTTCGCGAATGAAGCTCCCGTTTTCTGATAATGTATCGTTATTTGGTCACTTTACCATTTGAAATCCTTAGTTTGGCTAGATTCACTGCCATTCTGGATTATATACTAAAAGCAAGCGCTAGAGAAGGAAATGATTACAGTGATCACTCGTCATTTCAACAACCAAAAAGCACCAAAATAGCTTCTGTGCGGTCCTGTCCTAACTTCACCTGCACATTGTGTCGCGCAGATTCTGAACAAAGCGCACTGCTGAAGAAGTCTAACTAACGCTGTGCAGTGCACGGGCCCGTTCAGGACTCTTTAACACCCAATCCTTGAGATGAAAAGCGACCGCGCGGGAGTGTTCCTGTGGCGCTGACCGGATCGCCTTGAGCGGGCCGTGCGCCCGGAGTCGAGGTGGCCGTGATGCTGCTCCCGCGGCCGGCTCTGGGTCAGGCGGCGGACCAGCGGAGCCGGACCAGCGCGTCGGCTGCCGGCGCGCTGGGCGCCCGCTGGCCGGCCGAAGCCTTTCGACTCCGGAGGCGCGCGGAGCCGCGTGCGCGTGTGTGTGTCTGTGTGCTAACGGCACGTCTGGGCGGCGGGCTGCGCGAGCTAACGGTGCCGTGTTCGCAGACTCGGATAACGCCGACTCCGAGCGCGAGGACTCGACTGACGAACGGGAGAGCGAGGACAAAGGTACTGACGCCCCGCGCGCGCCACTAACCCGCTGCCCCGGCTGGCTGAGCGGGCCGGCACTGTGGCTGGCTGCGCGCGCCGGTCGGGTGTCGGCGCCGCTCCGCGCGGTCCTCAGCCTCTGCTGGGCTCCCCTGGCTGTCAGTCTTGAGGCGTGTGGCGGTGGCCCGGGCGACGGCTATGCAGGGCGCGCCGCGACAGGCTTGCGCTGACTGGTCGCCCCCTACCGCCCCCCGCTACCCGGGCGGCAGTCGGACCCCGCCGCCGAGCGGAGGTGGCGGACGGCGGTGCAGCTGACGGCGAGCGAGAAATGGGCGGGTTGTCTCAGACAGATTGATGCTGTTGCGTTGTTGGGAGGTCAGCAATGCACGTAACCTCGAAACAAATGAAATATATTGTCGTAAAGGGGCTCATGAGAGGCTGTGGTTACACGTCGCACGTAACATTTCGCCCGCGAGCGGTATTCGGCCATTTCTCGGAGCTAGATCGTTTGTTAGCGTTGGTGGTATGCTAATTCAGTGTGAGCTTAGGCCGCACCGAATTTTTGATAACCTTGGACGACAATTAGTTGTCTCTTTCATGATGGGAATGAAATGGATGCCACCAGCTCATAGATCATGTAGCTACGTTGAGTTGTTTAGTACCGCGTGCCTTGCTCTGCTGACGTGTATCGCTGAACCCCCACTGGAATGATCCGAGGACTAAGGACCGGGGACTGCGGAGCCTGAACATATTCCGTCCTCAACGTGGCCACCCTCTCGCTATGTCTGTGAGACTACGTTGCATGCTGTTTCCTTGGAGGCGTGAGGTGTGTATCCACGTTAGAGCCACTGCCTTCGACCACCAGCCCCAGAGATCAGTGACCTCGCTCACGACGGAGCTGGTCTGGGTCCGTTAGTCCCACGACCTCAGCCACGGGGCTTCTTGTGGGACCACACGAGCGATGTTTACAGATGCGGCACACACGGTAGCGATCAGCTCAGCACGAGCTGAAGAGTTTTTGAAGCCGATTTCGGCTTCGGCGTGCGAGCCAGAGACAGCCAGTGCCTCTGTGGCGCGCCGCGGATGAGCGACTGCGATCCGGGACCCGATGCTCGCATCGCTACGTACATTGGGGTCGTTCCTCGTTTCGTCAGGCGCGAGTGTCGCAAGGCCTGTCATGGGCCCCCTGCGCGAAGTGAGCTTAATTGGCTTTGGCTCCCGTGATTGGATAACTGTAAAGCCTTCTTAGGAGCCGGTTGGCTGTCCTGGCGCGTCTTGCAGTCCGCCAGCCGGACATTTGGCTTCATCGCCTCACCTGGTCCCGTCACGCCGGTAACGGGCTTGTACCCGAGCAGCCATGCATGTCGACCGGCAAGCTTTCAACAAACAGCGCAGTTCTTGGAACTTTGCGCCGTGGTTTCAAGGCATTTCCTTGCAAGTTGTTTTATGACGGGCCGTAGGGCCGTATTTCTGCAACGTTCCAATATCATTACTGTTTCGCACCATTCCTTTAACACGGGACGCGCGCAACTTTCTAATCTCGAAAACGTTGTCGAAAACGGATCGGTAACAGGTCTAGCTCTCGACGACCAGCCGTCGGAGTGACATGAGTGCAACTGATAACTGGAGAAAACGGGTAAATTGTACTGGCAAATGCGTGTGTTGGTGTAAATGGATAAACACGCGTCATCGCGCGTAGACCGCTTTTAGGGCCAATGTCAGATAACGACAAGAGCACATGAAGACACGCAAGCAACCGCCCCGTAAATTACATGTATGTGTTGTCAGGCTGGCTGACTTTATTGTACTGCACTGTACTGGCTGCAGCTAGCAGGGCCGGAGGCCGCCCGACCGGCGGGGCTGACGCGGGTGCACCCAACGACATCTCTCGAAACTGGGCCCGAGCACAGGGCGCTGTGGGGTGAACTGAGAACTCAGAATGAAGCGTCGCAGTTTACACAGGAATGTAGTCCCGTTAATTGCCATAAATGCCCACAAATATTTGCACGTTCCGTCATACTGCTCACTGCTTAGTTGTACTATAACTTCTACGTTTACCTGCTACCTATACTTACTACTCACTACTTACTATGTCGCAATGACCAAAGCTGTAGTGAGTGCTAATTCACCGGGTGCGTGGATTGAAACTCAGGCCAAATCAGTCATAATCAGTAATCACGCGACCACATGTGTAAATTTGTGCGCGTGTGCTTAAGACCAGTGTTCATCTGCGGAACTATGTATATCTGGAAAACGCGGTTTGGTAAGATGCGACGCACGCTTTCCTTCTGTGGGGCGGCTAGTGTTCCATGCAAGCTCGAGTTTCCAGAAGAGCATGCGTTTTGTCCAAAATCCTCGCTATGTGGCTGCAAGCAGTGCTGGTGCGATGTAAGCCAGCGAACTGAGGCGCGGCCCAGCTCGCGGTACTTCGCCGCTGGCTGGTGACCCGGCCGCTGGTCGTGTGGAGCGTCACTCGATCCGAACGCTGACGGTGTGGCCGCGGTCGGCAGACAACGAAGACTACAACGAGCAGCTGGCCGAGCTGACGTCCGAGATCAGCGTCAAGCAGCGGCTGATCGACGAGCTGGAGCGTTCCCAGCGGCGCATGGACACCATGCGCCAGCAGTACGAGCAGAAGCTGCAGCAACTGAGCGGCCGCATCAAGGCCACCGAGCAGGAGCGCGACAAGGTCATCTCGGGCATCGGTGAGTCGACGGCTGACCGGTCAGGCTGGAGCCGGCCAGCGCTGACGTCACGCGTTGGGCCGCCCGCCTCTGGCTGGTGGACGGGCTCTGTCTGAATAGTTACGGATGTCCGCGTCAGTGCTTAAGGATGATCTGTCCGTAGCTAGGAATGTCCGTGTCATTGGTAGGGATGCCTGTGTCGGTGGCTAGGGATGTCTGTGTCAGCGGTTAACGATGCCTGTGCAGGTGTTACGGATGTCTGTCAGTGGCTAGGGATGTCTGCCAGTGTTTAGGGATGCCTGGATCGGCCCAGCCTCGGCGTTTGCGTGGCATCGCCACCATCGAACACCGCCACCATCGAACGCCGCCCTTCGGCCGTTGTTGTTCGGCCCTGTCCGCCAGCGGGTGCGGCCCGTTGTCGGCCAACCTGACCGCAGGTCAGGGAGAGGCCGCCCGTGGTGCAGGACGGCGCGGGTCGTGCCCCGCCGCCCAACAGTGTCCACGTCAACCCTCGCTGCCGCCGTTTCAGCCGGCAAGCGCTCGGCCACGTCCAGCGACGACGTGCGCAAGGTCAAGGACGAGTACGAGCGCAAGCTGTCCGACATGGCCAAGGAGATGAAGAAGCTGCGCTCGGCCCAGCGGGAGCACGCCAAGCTGGTGCGCTCGCAGGGCGAGTACGCGCGCCAGGTGAAGACGCTCAAGACGGAGGTGGTCGAGATGAAGAAGGCTAAGGTGCGTGCTGCAGTGTCCACCGCGGAAGGGCAGGGGCGGCGTGCTGTCGGCGTTTCACGTGAACGCGTCTTGAGAGCGACCATAACTACCATTATGGTGTATGGTTGGGTTGCCTCGACGTTTGTCAGGTTTTGTGTACCTCGAGGTGTATTCTCCCCCTGCTCGCCTCTGCATGGTGTGGCCGTCGTGGGCTTGGTGACGCCGTGCCTGTGCGGTTTGTTTCGTGTGAATTGGCGTCGCTCTCGCTCCGTCGGACCGCGGCTCGGTCTGACCATCGTCTGGGCGGTGCAGGTGAAGCTGATGCAGCGCATGAAGGAGGACGCCAACAAGATGAAGCAGATGGACCTGCAGCATCACCGGGCCATGTCGCAGCTGAAGAAGGAGCACCGCAAGCACGAGAGCCAGGTGCGCCGCCGTCGCCGCTGCCGCCGCCGGTCGGCCCGCACCACCGTTCGCCGCTTCATTACGTCAGCGCAGGGTTATAGATCGCTTGGGACTGACATGACATGTGGATCATGTGACTGCAGTCATGAGTCGTAATCAGAAATTATTGATGGTCCGGCCATCAACGCCACTACAAAGCGGCCGCAGCATCCGATTACGGGGTTTTGCAGCCCATTTCCTTTGTCGTTCTTTGTTGATGTGTCGGGCGGTTAGAACGATGCAGATGATAATCTCTGACCTGTACTTGGGGACAGTACAACGTCCAAGATAATGACTAGGCAAGGCGCAGTTTGCCACACAATCAACATGTCAGTGTTTCGTGATTCGCTTTGTACACAAACCTATAACCTGTCTTGTGAAGTGCCACTTGCGGATAATAGCCTGCAAAAGGTGTAATAGAAGCAAATAGCAGTCTAATAACAATCATGTAGTACGCCTAGACATACGTGATTATTACGTTTGTAAGCCAGCCTCCCGACTTTGTGTGTGATCCGTGGTTCCCCAGAATATGTCGTGCAGTGCCATGTGTCTGGGTCACCTTGTGCCGCGCCGCGGTGTGTCTGGCCTCGGAGCGGCCGGCGGCGGGCCGACGGTGCCGACGACCGGAGCTGTACGAGGCAGACGCCGGGCTGACGCCACCCCGCCCGTCGCCAGATCAAGTCGCTGGAGGCTGAGAAGCGCCTCAAGGACGCCGTCCTCAAGCGGAAACAGGAGGAGATCGTGGCGCTGCGCAAGCAGGGAAAGCCGGCGCCGCGGACGCGCGCTCGCCTCCGGCCCCGAGGTACGGCCAGTGGCCGGGTCACGGCCCCGAGGTACGGCCGGTGGCCGGGTCACGGCCCCGAGGTACGGCCGGTGGCCGGGTCACGGCCCTGAGGTACGGCCAGTGGCCGGGTCACGGTCCCGAGGTACGGCCGGTGGCCGGGTCACGACCCCGAGGTGCGGCCAGTGGCCGGGTCACGGCCCCGAGGTACGGCCGGTGGCCGGGTCACGGCCCCGAGGTACGGCCGGTGGCCGGGTCACGGCCCCGAGGTACGGCCGGTGGCCGGGTCACGGCCCCGAGGTGAGGCCGGTGGCCGGGTCACGGCCCCGAGGTACAACTGGCGGCCGGGTCACGGCCTCGAGGTACGGCCGGCGGCCGGATCACGGCCCCGAGGTACGGGTGACGGCCATCTCCAGAGATCCCGTGTACCTTGCTGTGTGCGGCTTACAGGGCTGTCAAAAGCTGACGCGTGACATCCGCTTCGCTGAATTGATTGCAATAGCCTTCTTGCAGGTGATTATTCGCCTGATACTCTAAAGTGGGTTGCGTATTTGGTGTGTTCACCTGTTCTTGCCACCGCAGGCGGGGAGACGAAGACCTACTCCCCAGCTGTGGCCAAGAAGAACTGGCAGTCGCTGGAGAAGTCCATCAACCAGCTGGCGCTGAACAAGCAGACAGTGGCTAGCATGGAGCGTGAGATGGAGAGGTGCGTGGCCTGGGGGCTGCGGTGGCGGGGTGGGGGGGGGAGGGGGGTGTTACCTTCGGGCGATTACCGGGGAGGGAGAGGGGTTAGACACTGAGCCCGCTCCGGAGCTCATGGTAATGGTGAGGCCATCACCTTGCGCCTTGGGACGTGCTGACGTGGATTTGGTGTGGATTTGCGTCACATGGCGTAGTTCGGTAGTATTTTCCTTCCATCTTGCATTCGCCAAACAGTCGGCCGGACAATACTGACGTCCTTGGCCAGCCCTGACGTCCTCGGCCAGCCCTGACGTCCTCAGCGGACCTTGGCGTCCTTGGCCAGCCCTGACGTCCTCGGCCGACCCTGACGTCCTTGGCCGACCCTGACGTCCTCGGCCGACCCTGACGTCCTCGGCCGACCCTGGCGTCCTCAGCGGACCCTGGCGTCCTTGGCCAAGCCCTGGCGTCCTCAGCGGACCCTGACATCCTCGGCCAAGCCCTGGCGTCCTCAGCGGACCCTGGCGTCCTTGGCCAGCCCTGACGCCCTCGGCCGACCCTGACGTCCTTGGCCGACCCTGTCGTCCTCGGCCGACTCTGACGTCCTCGGCCGGCGCTGACGCCGTCCTGTCCACCGGCAGGCAACTGAAGGACCGCGAGAACCTGCGCCGCCGGCTGGCCAGGGTGCTGAAGCAGCGCGACAAGATGCGGCTGGCCGGCTGGTCCCCGCCGCAGATGGTCGAGCTCGAGGAGACCATCGAGGGCATCCGCGCCAACATGGACTACATCAACGACAACATCAACGAGTGTCAGGCCAGCATCATGGCCATGGAAGAGTCCAAGGCGAGTGAGGCTGTGCTGAGGGGCCGGTGTGTGCCGTGGGCTCTCGTTCGGCATTGCTGGTGGCCATTCAGAATCCTGGCTCTGTGGTGTTGTAGGCAGTTCAAGGGCATGCAGAACACATTAATAGGTTTTGTATTCCTAACAGGAGGTTTTAGAAGGTCGTGATCATCGTTCAAGACCGCCTGTTTCAATGAATTAGTAGTGGCGGCAGCCTTTCACTGACTTGTCCCATTGTGAGATCTCGGCGTTACACTCCGACCCCGCGACGTCACAGTCCGACCCCGTGGCGTCACAGTCCGACCCCGTGGCGTCACAGTCCGACCCCGTGGCGTTACAATCTGACCCCGCTGCGTCACAGTCCGACCCCGCGGCGTCACAACATCGTGGAGTTGGATTTCATTGGACTGACTTCGTTGAGCCCGAACCCTGCCCTGACCGCTCCATGGTGTTCGGGACCCTGCCTGGGCCGCTCCGTGGTGTCCGGGATCCTGCCCTGACCGCTCCGTGGCGTCCGGGGCCGGCAGGAGGACCTGCCGATCCAGGAGCCGGCGCTGCTGGTGCGGAATGTCGAACCTGAGCAGATGGAGTACCTGCTGGAGAAGCTGATTGCCATGACGATCCACCAGAGCTGCGTGGCCGCCCAGCACGAGGCGACCGCTAGGGAGACCGAGGTCAAGATGGAGCAGGTAATGTCAGACTGGCCAAGCCCCGCCGGAAGGCCTCTGTCCGTCCAGTGAACACCACCGCCGCCTGAGTCGAAGCGTGGGACAGCGATAACAAGCGGGGGTAGACGTGACAGGCTGATGTCTTATTCAAACATCTGGCCAACGCCGACATAGGCGGCGCCGTTTTGTTCGTTTCTGGCTGGGTGGCTATCCCCGGCCTCGTGCTGCTGGCTGGGCGCCCCGGTGCCTGCCGGGGCTGGACCCCCGACGGCCAGGAGCTGTACCGGCGCGGTGAGCCGGCGGCGGCTGGCCTGTGACGCCGCGTCCGTCGGTGGCCGGCGCTGTGTGACGCTCGTTGGCCGCCGCAGATGGAGCAGAACAGCTGCGTGCAGCAGCAGCTGCTGCAGCATCTGATGACTGAGGAGGGTGGCCTGGACCCGGCCGTGCTCTCGCTGATGGCGGAGGCCAGCGGGCCGGGCAGCGACGAGTCGGCCGCCTCCGACCAGGAGCTGGCCGAGCCGGCGCCGCCCTGGGCCGCGGCGCCGGCCGCGCGCGACAAGGCGCGCCGCAAGACCACCACCACGCACGATCTGCTGTTCGCCAACGGCGGCGGCGGCGGCGCCGCGCCGGCCGACGAGCCGCAGCGGACGGACGTGCGCGGCGGCGGCGACGCCGAGACGCGGCTGGCAGCGCCGCCGCCGCCGCCGTCGCCGCCGGTCTTCACCCGCTCGCTCAGCCACGTGATATCGACCGGCACCGGCGCCGGCACCGGCAGGTGAGCCGTCGGGCCGTGGCGCGGCGGGCGAGCGGGGCCGCTCTCTCCGGCTGGGCTGTGGTTTGGCCTGTGACAGCCTGAGGTCTTTGGACTGCACTGCATGCTGTTTGGACGTGATTGGCCGCTTTTGGCATTTCTGTGTGCATGTGGTACGGAAAGCACCGTTCTGTATTCCGAAAGGCCACGCCTCTCCCATTCACTTGCAAAATTCAGAGTCACTGGAAAGTAAGTTTTTGCTCGTATATTTTATGTCAGTAGTTAACAGCCAACTCTAGGTGCCGTTGGCGTCAACAGTTGTGATTGGATTGCAAAGCCCGAGTGCGTGCTGTTGCTCTTCCTCTGTTGTGTTTGCCTGCTTACCTTGACTGGCATTAGTGATATGACGAGTAGTGCAACGTTGCACCAAAGAGCGTGCGTCAGTCGATGTGTTGCTGCCGGACCCATCCTATGTGGTACTGAGAATTCCACGCATTGTGATTAACGGGAGTTGGGCTTACCAAAACATTGTGAGTTTAATTTAAGAAGCTGCTGCTTACTCTCCTGGCTCATTCGGTTTCTTTCTCTCGGCTAAGTGCTTCCCTTGCACTGATATGGTCCCTAGAGTGTGGCATCAACAAAATGTATCGCATTGACCCAATGGACGGTGAACGCGCGCCAGTTTGCTCGCCCTCGTTCGCACGGGGTATAGTTTTACTGAGGCAGCGTTATAGTTGATGGCGACGGCGTTATGGCGGAGAACAAAGTGCGAAAACTGGAAGATTTTGGACGTTCCGACTTCGTTGAGTTAAAGTAGTATTGGAACTGGAATATTTCGTTGGTGCTAGAGTAGACCAACAAGCGAGCTATTCGTATTCCCAGCCCATTTGCCACTGATAAGTCGGGCTTCGCGCCTACGAGAGACGTTGTGGCGTATCGGTCCGTACGTCCCTCTAGATGTTTGTGCCGATTTGAGCTTTCCGTCCCTCTGAATGAGATGTATGCGTGTGTGTGTGTGTGTGGGTGTGGGTGTGTTGTAACCACTGACCGCTTGTGCGCAGTGCAACAGTTGCTGGGTTCTCCCGCCGCATGAGGGGACCGGCTGGTGTGTCTGTTTGAGGGGAAGGGGCGGCGACCGGCGTATCAATGGGTATCCTGGTGTCCGTTGTGACGCTCGCTGCATGAGGGGACTGACTAGCGTTCTTGTAGTGTGCGGATGTTTGCAGGGCCACTCTCCGTCTCAGAGGATGTAGCCGCGTCTCTGTGGCGTCCGGCCGTGTCTCCACGGCGTCCGTTCGCGTCTCCATGGCGTCCGGCCGTGTCTCTGTGGCGTCCGGCCGTGTCTCTGTGGTGTCTGGCTGTCTGTGGCGTCCGGCAGTGTCTCTGGCGTCCGGCTGTATCTCTGTGGCGTGTGGCTGTCTCTGGCGTCCGGCCTGTTCTCTGTGGTGACTGTCTGTCTGTGGCGTCCGGCCGTGTCTCTGGAGAGTTCGGGTGTCAGTAGGACCTCTCTCCGTCCCGGAGGACCGGACCCTGTCTCGGTGCCGTCGGGGTGTGTGCAGGGCCGCTTGCTGCCGCAGGGGCTCCTGCCGCCTCGACCCGCGCCCCTCGCCGCTGCCCGCCCGCCGCACCTACAAGGAGGCGCTCTCACCACGGCTCGCCCGCCGCAATGTTAACATTACTAACAACAACGTGCGCACGTGAGTAGCGTCCTGTCCGCTGTGGGACCGCGGGCCAGCCGACCTCGCCGTCAGCCGGCCGGGCGGCCGCGAGCGCTGCTGCGACCGGCGCGTCCACCACCGACCTCCATTGCAACCAGCGGCCGGCTCGCTGCGCTTGTAACTCGCCTCTGCCCGGAGATGCCTGTGCGTGTGCTACGGCTGCTGCATAATCCGGGGTGGCGTTGCTTTGTATATAAGGTCTGTCTGGAATAATTTGGGAAATCCACCCGTTGGAGTCGTTCTGATCTAGCTTCCCGATGCTACCGGGTGTTCCAAAACACAGCAGTAGTGCAGCAACTCTTGCAACTTCGAGTGTACTGTAGTTGTTTGGTTGCGTGCGTGGCAGATGCAACTTCGAGTGTACCGTAGTTGTTTGACTGCGTGCATGACAGCGTGCCCTCCCGCTCCCACCCACCACACGTCTGGTGCTCATATCGGGCGGCGTGCGAGCACCAGGTCCGCGGGCTCCGCGACAGACGCCTCTAGCTTCAGGCGATAACCTCTCTCTGCTTGTCGCGGAGCGCTCTGTCCGCTCTCGCCCCTGTTCGGCCCGGCCGGCCCGCGGAGGGCGCCCCTGACCGACGGCGGCGCGCTGGCCGGTCCGCCTGAGTCGGCGCCGTCGGGGCTGACGCGCCTCTGTGTCCGGCAGCTCGGACAGTCTGTCGGACGCGACGCCGCCCGGCTCGCCGGCCTCCTACCGGCGCCAGACGTCGCGCGAGGAGAACGTCTTCAAGCGGCTGACGTCGACGACGGCCGGCCAGCAGGAGGAGCGGCCGGACGCGGGCGTGATCACGCCGTACCAGGGCCGCGCCGGCCGCGCGCCGCTCATCTGCACACACGTAGCGGAGGGCCACGCCAAGGCCGTGCTCTCCGTGTGCGCCACCAACGACATGCTGCTGTCCGGCTCCAAAGGTGGGCCGGGCCGCCTCCCGGGACGGGACGGGGCAGCGGGGTGAAGGGACGCGAACGGGGAGCGCCGGCCGGTCCCGAGAGGCAGCGCTGTGCTACCGCGAACCGGCAGGAGGGGGGGGGGGGGGGCGTTGTCTCGTCGCGGGCATTGCTGTCGACAGAGCTGGTTCCAGCCAGTGGTGGCTTGTGGCTCGCTACCAATTTAGGGACTTCGCTAGTGGTGCGGCTAGACGTCGCCTCTGTGCGTGTGGAGCCCTTCGACACCGAAGCGACACGGAACTCTGCTATCAAACATCCGGTTCACTGGCTGACATGGGCAATGCGTTTCAGATCGGACGGTGAAGGTATGGGACCTGCGCACGGGCCATCAGCTACAGTCTCTGGCCGGGCATCCCAATAACGTGGTGTGCGTCCGGTACTCGGAGGTGGCCCAGCTGGCGTTCAGCGTGTCGTCCGCCTTCGTCAAGGTCTGGGACCTGCGCGAGGGACCCGCCAAATGCGTCAAAACGCTCAGGTGAGGGGCGAACGCGTTACCCCGTGCTGGCACGGCTCTGCCCAGCTATTGGAGCAAGGTGTGATTGGAAATTAGTTTTAGGTGGATTATTTCCCGGCTTCCGCATCTGTTTTATGTAAAGTACAACGCAGGATGTTATGCAGGATGTTATGTGTTATGGGTGTTATGTGTTATGCAGGATGTCATGTGTTACAACGCAGGATGTTGTGTTTGAGCCTGACTGGGATGCGCGAACCCTTCACTGCTTGCCATTTCACATCACTTTCGTTTTCAACATGGTACCCGGATTGGGCAACTGATGGAGTGGAGTAGAGTTCAGTGCTCAGTTCAGTAGGAGTGACGGCCTGCTCGCGTCAGCTCTGAGGCCGACGCGACCCGTGCCGGCCGTCCCCTGGCCCAGGCCCACCTGCGCGTGTCCCGTGTGCCCGTGTGCCGCGGCAGCTCACCCGGCCTGCGCAGACTGCCCCCCTGTGTTTCGACAGTCAGACCCCGCGTGCAAGCCACCGGGCCTGTACAGTCTGATCCGGGCGCCTGTGTACCGCGGGGGCAGCTCGTCAGGCATGCGCAATCTGATCACGTGTGTTTGCAGGGTCCCTGACCCCGATTGTTAGTACAATCTCTGACCCCTGTGCCGCTGCAGCTCGTCAGATCTGTACAGCCTGTGACCCCTGCATCTCTGCAGCTCGTCAGACCTGTACATTTGACCCCTGTGCCGCTGCAGCTCTTCAGACCTGTACAGTCTCTGGCTCCCGTGTCGCTGCAGCTCGTCGGACCTGTGCAGTCTCTGACTCCCGTGTCGCTGCAGCTCGTCAGACCTGCACATTCTCTGACTCCCGTGCCGCCGCAGCTCGTCAGACCTGTACAGTCTCTGCGTCCCGTGCCGCTGCAGCTCGTCAGACCTGTACAGTCTCTGACCCCTGTGCCGCTGCAGCTCGTCAGACCTGTGCAGTCTCTGACTCCCGTGTCGCTGCAGCTCGTCGGGCCTGACGTCGAGCGCGGTGCCGCTCTCCACGCCGTCCCGCACGCTGCAGATGCCGGCCGGCGAGGCGCAGATCAACGACGTCTGCCTGAGCGGCGGCGGCCGCGCCCTCTACACCGCCAGCCTCAGCACCGTCCGCCTGTGGGACCTCAGGAAGTGAGTGACGCCGGACACCGCGCTCCGCCCGGCTGGCTGGAACTGTGTGGTCCTGATCGAGCGCCGTGCAAGACAAATTTGTGCACCTTTTGGAACTTTGAAGTTGTTCGATTATCTTCTTTTTGGCGGAAGATATTCCGCAGGACGAAATTCCATGTATTCGGATAAATCTGCGCATATTTTTATTGTGCAGCAGTGTCCGTGTCACGCTGCGCCACGACGTCTGTGTTCTCGGCGTTGTATTTCTGCTGGCGTGCGTGGCTGACGGGGGCGCTCGTGGCGGCGCGTGGCCAGGTTCCACAGCGTGGGCAAGCTGAGTGGCGGCCACCAGGCGGCTATCATGTGTCTGGCGGTGGACCGGCGGCGCGGCCGCGACCTCGTGCTCACCGGCTCCAAGGACCATTACATCAAGGGCTTCGAGGTGCCCGACGACACCAACGGCATCGTGCAGCAGTGCATGAGCCTGGAGCCGCCGCACTACGACGGCATCCAGTGTCTGGTGGTGTCCGGCGACACGCTCTTCTCCGGCTCGCGAGACGCCTGCATCAAACAGTGGGACTTGCAGCGGCAGACGCTGCTGCAGGTACGGATCTCGGGCGGCTCGGCCGACGCTGGCGCCACCTCGGGCACGTGCAACGTGGCGGGCGCTGGCGCTGGGAGGATGCCAGGCTCGGTGTGGTAGGCCGTGGGGTTACATCGGTGGGGACGGGGAGGGGAGGCGCAGTTATATCGGAGGTGGGTTTGTGGAAGACGTAGACTGGATTTTTCGCGCTCACCAGACGCTGGTGTTCGCTCATGTTCATCGGGCGCAGATTTTCACTCGCGTTGACCGGGTATAAATGTTCGCTTACGTTCACCGGGCGCAGATTTTCACTCGCGTCCACCTTGTAAAAATGTTCACCCACGCCCACCTTGTGCAGATGTTCACTGACGTTCACCGGGCGCAGATGTTCACTGACGTTCACCGGCGCAGATGTTCACTGACGTTCACCGGGCGCAGATGTTTACTCGTGGGCGTCCTGGGATGTCAGTCAGCATTGGGTTCGGTCGGGCGACGGCGAATCCCGCATTGGCGACCTCCTCGTGTGACCAGTGCGCCGACAGTGTCTGGGTACAACCGCCTTCATGCGAGCGGCCACCGCTCCGATCACGTGTGCGCGTCTGCGGCCGCCGCCCTGAGTGTGACCGCGTCCGTGTCCGCGTCTCCAGAGCGTGAGCAGCGCGCACCGGGACTGGATCTGTGGCCTTAGCCTGGCACCGGGCGGCCAGACGCTCCTCTCGGGCTGCCGCAACGGCGTCATCAAGCTATGGGGCGTGGAGGCGTGCCAGAGCCTGGGCGAGTTGCGGGCGCACGGCAGCCAGATCAACGCCATCACCGCCAACCAGAGTCATGTCTTCACCGCCTCCAAGTGAGCATCCCGGGAATATCGCCGCGGGCCGTGAGACGGCGCCACGCGACAGCGGAGAGGCAGGCCTGAACACTGGACCGCTGGGGGGGGGGGGGGGGGGCATTGGCTTTGTTCTTCTTTTTTGAGGTAGGAAAAATGTTAGCCTAGATTAACACCAGAAGTACGAACTGTTGGGGGAATGTAAGATGGCCTTGGACAAGGTTGGGAGGGGGACCACTCATCCTACTAATTCCCGGACTCGGACGTTCTGCTCTGTGTAGGAGGGGGACCAGTACCGCCGGGGACACATCCATGGCAGCATCGGTCCTGTGCTGCCAAATGCGCGATGTATCAAACGTCAAATCTCAAGCTTTGGGCGTGCTCTTGGAGTCGTGTGATGGCGTGGCGAGGGCCGGGCGGGGGTGCTCCGCTCCGTGTCGCCCTCCCCCGCCGCCTCCCCTGACTCCGAGCTCCACCGTTCACAGCTGCGGCGATATTAAGCTGTGGCGGCTGCAGGGCGCCGTGGCCAGCGCGCCGGCCCACCTGTGCCCGGCCATGACCCAGTCCACTGGCCGCGTCCTCTCCCTGGCCATGTAGCCCGCCCCGCTGCCGCCCGCCCTCCTCCTGGTGGCCGTCCTGGCAATCTTTGCTTACGCCCTGCCCGCCGCGTGGCGTTGCTGCGCCGCGCTGGTTCGGTTTTGTTCGCCGTAGCACTCTGCGGGCCGTTGTATGTCTTGATTTGTCCTGCGATCTAGCTGTGTTTTGTTATGTCGCAGCCAGTGCCTGTCGGATTGTTTACATTTTGCACCTCGCACTGCCTTTCACACCCTCATACTGAATTTATCAGTCCATTTTTGTACGAATTTGTTATCTCAACACGCTTTTGAACTGAGCACCTCAATATTAGTTTGGCGAGGGCAAAATCAGTCAGTTTCGCTGCACGTGAGGAAGTCGGACTGTGTATTGTTGAAAGCTTGAGCAAGATCAGAGCTATATCAATGCCGTTATCGCGGATGATATCAATGATGACCGTCTCAGCGTCAGGGAGACTCGGCTTTGGTCCAATGAGCCTGAAGGCATCGCGCGTCTGCGTTGGTGCGGCTGGCAAATAGGTGGTAATCGGTGAACTAACTGGACTTTGATCCGTGGTTAACGCGACTGTGATCGTTTATTGTATATTGGCGGCGAGTGGCCCTGAGCCAGCGCCGTCCCTGCAAAAAACGGTGTCTTGACCTAACATTACTCTGGTCTAATGTCAAGAACGCTGTACGAGCATGGATGGGGCCTTTTGTTGGAAATGTCATTTTACTACCAGCGAGACTTATTCGGTAGCGGTCACCGCTTCCCACCGGCGAGTGTGGACTGGAGAGAAGTAACGAACCTCAGTTGGGGGTTCCGCCACTTCTCGCTGGTGTTGAACACCATGCAGTTTTGGGCACTTGATCCCGTGGTCATCGGGTTGGGGCGGTTGCCCATTTAGCTGGGCCGTGGACCACGCAGTGGGTGGCCGCGAGAGCGCCCCACACATTCCAGCTGACCCAGCCTTGGACAGTCCGGACTGGTGCGACGGATCCGCACTGAAAGGATGGTTTGTTGCCGACCGGCGATGTTTGGTACCGCTCCCGTTTTATTCCAGCCCGCACGCGCCAGCACCCCGGACCCTGCCCCCAGACACGCACGCTGTTGGTTTCGTTCGCGGCCCCGGCGCTGGCTTGGTTGGTTTTCCCTGACCCATCCGCGCCACTGCAGCGACCATACCATCGGGCTGTGGCGGCTGCGGAACAACCTGGACGTGGACAGCGAGCCGTCGTGACCGGGGCGCGGTACAAGCTGCCGGCGGAGCGGACCGCAGAGAGCGGCGGGCTGCGGCGGCGCAACTTCTCGACGCCGACTAGAGATGGCGCGCGGGGCGACGACAGGCCGTGGTGATTCCAATGGATGTGACCGGCACTCGAACTCGAAACGCTGTTTTAAGTGCGGGTGACCCCCAGAGTGTTTGCCTGGTACCATGCTGAATGATGAACTAACAAGAGTTGGGCTGTGAGAGAGTTGGGCGGTTCTACTGTGTGCGACGACTCGTGAACACATGATCTTAACGTTGCGTGTGGGATACCGCTCAGCAATAAACATTCCATTTTGTTGAATCGTTTTATCGTTTCCCCGTTCCTGCATTGGAGAATAAATCGTTTGATGCAGCGCTGTCTGGTTTTTGATAGACGTTAATACAGTCCTGAATGCACCGAACGCCGGTCGCAGAACTAACCACGTCGACGCCGCCAGATTTATTGGGACTAACCGTATTGTCAATCCATTACCCTACACGTTTGCGGACCGTGTCCCGTGCGACAACCCGCGCGTGCTAGTATGAAGTGTGCTGGTGCACTTGGTGGCAACCGACGGCTGCGCCATCCAGGCGGATGCGCGGTAGGCGGGCGATCCCGTTGAGCATTGAAGTACACGGGCGGCGTAACAATGGGAACGTGAATGAATGGCCGCACACTCCACCGTTATGAAAGTGGCCAAACGGACGTACTTGACGCGTTCCAGGGTGGGGGGCAATTTGACCCCCCCCCCCAAGATTTTTTCCGGAATGGTTGCCGAACGGCGTGGCATAGCCGCGCCAAAGTTTGCATAGCTGTAGACAATCGAATAACGGATCGTTCTGAATCAGGCATTAAGATGTACCTCGTAAGGTCCCTGACCTACGGCAGGTCAGTCAGACCATGGTATCAAGGAAGTAAACTTCTATGGAATAGTTAAATCTTATGCGACAACGGAGCATTGGACGAAGCTACACATCTCTGCGATACTTTCTTAGGCTACACAACATCTCAGTGGACAAACTCCATTGATCTAGGGTCAGGTATGAGGGTCAGAATATTGCCAAATCCAGCCTGCTGTATTACTCTAGGGCTTGCTGCACGAAGTAGTTTGTGGCGCCCATTTCGGATTTATTGTTGGCGGGAACCGCGTTATAATCTTTCATGGGCTTCTTAAAGGTCAGAACAGGTCACCAACCTAAAATGACCCAATTCACTACTTTGTTTGCAGGAACATACTGCCTGGCGTAATCCTTACCCCCTATTCGAACGCGAAACTCAAAGTCGTCCTGTATGATTTTGATCATCAAGACCTTCGAAAGGCCAAATGGCGTCACTGACCTGAAACGAGCATGTGACCCTTTGCTTGTAACATATATCTAGGTTCTGGGGACACTGAGGACCAACCTGGAGTTTGACCTTATTTGATCCCAAGGCCGTGACTTAGGAACCTCAAACTTTGACCCAAGTGAGTTCACGTACAGGTCAACAGACCCTGTGAATCTAGTGTATCTAGCTCTTAGTTACTGAGACCTCAGGGGGAGGGGTGTCAAATTGACCCCCCCCCCACCCCCACCCGAGCGAAGGGTATTCAACAGGTCACCCAGACGCGTGTTAAAACGGTCCGCTCTCGTGGCCGGCTTGGAGCCTGGGTATGTCCCGTCTTGCACGTGCATTCATCAAGTCAGATAACTTCACTGACGCGACACTGCAGCAACGAAGTGGCAAAGTATATTAACAAAACTCAACAAGAATATTGAGATCAATGGATCACAGGAACTGATGTCATTCGCTATACCTTCACGCTGTTGGCCGTCGGGCGCCTGGACGAAGGCATCCCACATACCGGCGGGCGTGTTCACTACCTCGTGGCCCCTCCGGCCACCAGCGGTTCTCGTACCCTGAGCGGAGGCCGCCGCCACGCGACGGCAGGCGGTGCACGTAACTGACTAGGAGCTCTGTAGGTCGGTCTCGCCCACACTGATAGACCGGCAGCGGGCGTTCGGACGCCTAGGAGCTCTGTAGGTGGGTCCCGCCCACACTGAGAGACCGGCAGCGGGCGTTCGGACGCCACGCGGCTGCTCGCGCCATCACCCGGGCCTGCGCCACTGGCGCGCAACTCGAACGGAACACGCCAGCGTGAACATGGAGACCAGCTAGCGAACGGCGAATGCGGCCACTAAACACTGTTCTGTGGGTAGCAATTGGCTTTGGGGATATTCCAAAACAAAACAAAGTAAAGGCAAAGCATGTGCCGACAAAACAAGGGTTCCAGCTCATTGTTCTGGTGGGTGTTATTACTGTTCGGAGCTAGTTCAGGCGATGGTGATAAGGCACACCCAGCCCCACCGCCCCAGCGGTGGCAAACGGCCAGCCAGCCGACAGCGCGAGCCGCTGCTGAGCTTCCCAGAGGGCCGCTGACGATGGGACGAGGCCAGTGGCTGCAGCTGGCGCGGCGGCGCGGGCGGCGACGGTGGCCGCGCCGCTCAAGCCGGCTCCCGTCACAGCCTCCAGCGGGGCTGGTCCGTACTGGCGGCCGCCGGCCGGGCCGGCCGGAGCACCGTGGAGCAGACAGAGCGCGCCGAGCGAGCGCTGGTCGCTCCCGCCGGCGAGTCTGCACACACCGCCGAACCGCGTTAGAGCCGCGCTGACGACGGGCACGCTAGCAGCGGGCTCGAGCTCCCACGCTCAGGACAGCGCCACAGCGACGGCACACGCCAACAGGCAACACATCGTCAGCGCGCGCACTGACCATCTCCTTCCCCATGCACGGTACGGCGCGGCATCTGTGAGAGCGGGCTCGGTAAGAACGACAGTCAACGCCACAATGGCTCGTGACCACCGCCGAGTCACACAAACGACTCGAAAACGCCTGCCGGCGCCCGTTGTCACCAGGTCCGACCCAAGCGGGTACGCGCTGACGCCAGCGGAGAATGCAAGACCTACGACGGTGGTGAACGGTTAACACACGACAAGAACGCTGCTACTTCGTGGTGTGAAGTGTGGACCGAGCCGGCGGTCAAGACCCAGTCTGTCGGTCGATGCCAGTCACCCCGGGGCGCTGTATACTGACCGAGGGTGGTGTAGCAGCCTTCCAGGGAGGCGCTGAGTGCCTCCACATCAGCGGCGGTGAAGGCGGCCTTCTCGCAAGACGTCAGCAAGCCGCACGGGAACTTCTTGCGCGCCACCTGCCGGCACGGCCGTCAGAGTCCAGGCGCCGCAGCACCGTCAGCGGCGTTACGCAGCCACGTGTCAGGTCAGCACATCACTGCCACACCACCAGGTCGCGGCCACACCGCGCACGAGCGCGGCAACATCTGCGCTGCCGAGCAGCGGCGCCCTGACCGCCGTCCACAGCAGCGCCCCGAGTCCGGCCGCCGACCGGGCCGACTGGCAGTGGGACTGACCTTGAGGCCGCCACTCAGGATGAAGACGTTGTCGTAGCCGCGCTGCGCCAGGGTGGTGGCGCAGCGCTGCGCCAGCATCTCATCCTCGTCGCACACCACCACCACCGTGTGCGCGCCGCGCTTGTAGCGCCACATCTCGGCCGTCTCGTAGTTCATGGTGCGCGCCAGCCGCGAGGCCGGGTAGTGGCGCGCCGTCACGATGTGTTCGCGCGCGAACGACTCGGCGTCGCGCACGTCCAGCAGCAGGTACGGCTGGTCGTCGACGGAGGGCGGCGGCGCGGGCGGCGGCGCGTCGCCGGCCGACACCGTCAGCTCGCCGGTGCCCTGCACCAGGCTGGCGGACGCAGAGGCGGGGCGGGACACACGGTCAGCGTGCGGCGCCGGGCCGACGGGCGCCAAGACAACGGCACATACCCCGAGTGACACGGCCGACCGACCCGCGACCTGCACCCAGCTGCGTCGCACAACTCCCGGACGTTCTGAACAAGCTCGGCAGGGGTGGGATTCGATGGGGCAACAAGATCAGCCGCCCAGGAAGGGTTGTCCCTCGCTTTCGGCGCATCCCGCGCACGGCACCAACGTCTGCCGTCGGTGGAAGCTCCAGCAGTCACCTCTGCAAGTCAGTGCGCTTCTCCTTATGGGCGGCGGGCGGCGAAGGTGGCGCGGCGGCCTCCAGCCGCAGCCGCGCCACCTCCACGATCAGCGTGACGAGCGTGCCGACCTTGATGCGCCGGAACAGCTCGTCCGGACGCACGTGGTAGTACTGGCGGATCACGTCCAGCGCCTCCTGTCGCTTGCGCACGTTCGGCCCTGTCAACCCGCCATGGTCACCAAAACAGTTGTAAGAAATGTAGGGAAACATGAAAATATTAACCCACTAAGTCACCTATACAGTCATAACTATCACATGAGGAAAGTATGTCAAAACAATATTATATTAATCAATGCATGCTGACAGTATTACATAAATCAATGCATGCTATTAAAGTGTATTAGAAATGTAGCAAAAGTAGTACCATACACAAAATTTGTAAGAAACATTCATGATTAAGTGTATGGAAGATGACAAAATGCAACTCATCTGGCTCTTATCCTTGCTAATGCACACTGCCTTCGATGCATGTAATGCATATCAACAAAGCCCAAATCAGAGATGATTACCAGTATCAATCATGGCAGTCACTTCCTTATATTTGTTGCAGCTCTTTGGTGGTGCAGGTAGAGGCTGGAACCAGTCACAAATTTCAGGACATGTCACATGCCTTATAAGCATTAAACATGAGCTAGGAATGGACACCTTTGTATAAATGGCCTACTTACAGGGCAATAGCCCAACAATGTGTCAACAATACAGCACCATATTGATGGCTGGCTCATTCAGATGACAGCCCTGATCAGAGCCCCTTGTCCCTGAGGTTTCATTCCTGGGCCAATCTTGGGACTTGGGTGTTCTGGATGTACCAGCGACTCATTGCTTTTCACCACAGCAGTTGCACTATGTGCATGTGTGCTGGAATGTACATGGTACAGCCAAGCTGAACTGGCCATGCTGTAAACTAATGACTGGGCAAATGGTGGCTCACTCAGCAGGCAGGGAGCATGCAAAGGGGGGCATAAGCTGAATTCAGGCTGGGGGGAAGGCTGTAGTAGGCTGGACAAAAAAGACAGAAAGGCATGACAATATGTGCTAAAAAGATGTCTGTCTATTTGGTATGTTTTTCTTATGTCATGGTTCTCACTGAGGGGATGCACTGAGTTTGCCAGTGCTTTCCCAAACTTCCTTCTAGAATACTGACCACTGAACATTGCACCTTCAAAGCCTTGTTGCATATACCAGCAAGTATGCACATTTTGTACCTGACATTTGCAATGCAGTGAGTTACACAAACATTCAGCACCCCAGTCCCAAACACGGTCCAAGGCTGGGCCATTGGTAATTAATAGGTGTTATATCATATACTGCAGCAATATGCCATCATAGTATGCTTTAAGGTAAGCACCCATTGCACATGTGCAAAGGTTTAAAAGGTTGCGAAGATTGCACACATGTGCAAAGGTTTAAACATTTTGCATAAATCTGCAAAATGCCAACTTGTGAAAACCACCTGTAATATGTACCATGCATGCATCAATGTAATGGATTCACATCCAGGCATCTGGAATGGGCATATGGATTGCTTTTCACAAAGTTTGATGTGCCATACATATGCTCACATGCATCAAGTGCTCACCTTAGGTGATGACTCCTTTTTTGCTTTTCTCCCTTGATACATGTTTGATGTACCCCAGCCTCCCTGCATAAAAATTTAACTTTTATTTGGCTCAGGTATTTGTACATCATTGCTCATGATTTCAGTACCATATCATTGCACAGAAAATAAAGGCATTACAGGTGAAAACATGTTGACAAAAGAGAGATAACAATCATAGTGATAACATTTGGTCAACAGGTATCAATCTAGTTGCTCCCCAACCAAAAAATCTGGCATATCCCAGCATAAGGATGGTGATGCACTGGTCTACATCTCATCATCAACCCATCACCCTTATACCACATCATGCACCGGGAATCCAGAGAGCGAGTGCCCTCTAATCTCATGTAGTTCGTCTTGGACTCTCATCCCCAATCCAGGGTAGAAAACCATCACATGGGATTTTAGCGCTCAAAACAACATAGAGACTGTCAAAAATATCCAAACACCAGTACCTACTTAATTTTCCAAACACACAGGTCTAGAATATATGCATTTTGCGAATCGCCCTGCCGGACGAAGGGGGCCACCTGTCAGCAGATACACAGCGCAGAGCAGTTTGGAAAACGCCGTGTAGGTGAGATAAAACCGCTCGGTGATTCTGGTGAGATGTCCCTATGACGTCACTGATAGCAGGACTGTTAGCCCCGGACATGATGCTGAGGGGCAACCAGAGCATTGAAATATTCATACAAGAATGAAAAAGCCGTCAGCGAAAGATGCATTTAACCAGCGAGCCGATCGCGTATACTTTTATTGGAAATATGATGGTGTGCTTTGCATGCCTCTGCTGTAAACTTGTATAATGCAACGGCATACAAATTTGAATGCGTATGTACAAACGAGCACATCGTAACAGAGGGAAGGGAACAATGGGTGCAATTATATAAAAAAACAAACAGACTGTTATTGACAGCATATAAGACCAGAGCACCGACTACGTATAATCTAACGACGAGTATGATGATGCACGTAGTAATCTTAAGCGGCAAGCCATCAATGTTCGGCTGCTCTGCAGCGTTATGCCCCAGGGCTAGCGGCCGCACCGCATTGAAGTCCTGTTACCAATGACGTCATCATCCCGTTAAGACCGGGTAAAAATCCGACTCATGACGAAGTCCATGAACAGCATCTCTCTGCCCTTGCCTGTGCCAGAAAAGCTGCCAGAAAAGTGCGTTGGATAAGCCGCCAAATTGGGAGTGGAAAATTACCACCTCGAGGGAACCTGAAGGGGCGGGCGCGTTACGGGGCTTGTGGTGAGCGCGGGGAGGAGGGGGTGGAGTAGGATTGAGTTATTATTCATTGTGGTATGTACTTTGTCCCCGTTTGTTGCTGATTGAGTTGATTCGAAGCTTTCGCCCATGGGCGTGAAAAGGGAATCTCATTGTGGATGTGGCTCAAGCTCGAAATGTATTTACTGATTATGAGCCCGGAAAAGTTCTGTTGTAACGGGTGCAGCTGAAGACACTAGTGGCTTGTTTAACTACCTTCAAGAAATTTTTTTTATTAAGAGGTGTGCTGTCCATATCTGCAAGACAAAACAACAGTCAGTTGGAGGCAAGTTTCAACCACCAGTAGGTAGGTAGCTGTGAGATGTGGGCAAGACTTCACTCATTTTGGCCCGCGATCAGCCAACATCATTCGCTGCTGGGCAGGTTCTGTAGCACGTCTTCAAGTGCAAGAAATGTGTCATTTCCTAGACCTGCAACACATTATCCATCCTTTGGACTGGTTTTTGACATTGATGGAGTGATCGCAAGAGGCCGGGATGTTATCCCGGCAGCTGTGCAGGCATTTCATGAGCTGGTTGATGCTCAGGGACATTTCAGGGTCCCCACCACATTTGTCACCAATGCCAGCAACACCCTCAAGTACCACAAAGCTGAGCAGCTGTCAGAGTGGCTTGGGATCCCAATATCGTCAGATCAGGTGGTGATGGCACACTCACCTCTGAAGTGGTTCACTCAATACCACAATAAGCATGTACTGGTTTCTGGCCAGGGGCCAGTGGAAGCAATAGCACTGAATCTGGGATTCACCAATGTCTGCACCATAGATGCATTCAGAAGGCAATTCCCAGCACTGGATGTGGTGGATCACTCAAGACGCACATGGATGACTGTGCCGTCCAATGCAAGTTTTCCACCAATTGAGGCAGTTGTACTTCTGGGTGAACCTGTTCGATGGGAGACATCACTGCAGCTACTTGTTGATGTCTTGATGTCTAATGGACTTCCCCTGTACCGTGTGGATCAGCCACCCCTCCCACACCTGCCTGTCCTGGGCTGCAACATGGACCTGCAATGGATGGCAGGGTGCTCCAATGCCCAGGTTTGGGCATGGTGCATTCTTGACATGCCTAGAGGCTCTGTACAAGAAGATCACAGGGTACACACTGACCTACTCGGCCCTGGTTGGCAAGCCATGCGAGATCACCTACCACTACGCCGTCAGCAAGGTCGAGGCCCAGGCGATCAAGGCCGGCAACGTCAATCCCATCCGCCACATCTACTGCATCGGCGACAACGTCAACGCCGACGTGTTCGGCGCCAACCTGTACAACGAGTTTCTGCAGAACCGCGCCACGCCGGAGCCGGTGCCGCAGCAGCGCAACTACAGCCTGGTGAACCGGGACGGCACGCTGAAGGAGCACCGCAGTCGCGCCGAGCGCTGCTTCAGCGTGCTCGTGCAGACGGGCGTGCACTTCGGGCCGGGCGGCGAGCGCAAGTGGGAGAGCGACCACTCGCCGCGCGACTTCCTGCCGGTCGACGAGCGCCTGCTGCAGCCAGACTTCGACTGCCGCGACGTGCTGGACGCCATCCACCTCATCTTCGAGCGCGAGAGCTTCGTCAGCTGATACCTTCACTGGGCGGGCATCTGCGCCGGGCGCGGTTAGGATCGATTTAGGTAGGGAGAGGAGCAGCAACTGCCAGCCGCACTCTGTTGCACGTGCACGAAAAGTCGGTGACGTGCGAAATTTTTAGACATGTAAATTTATTTCCTCAGTGGCAGGGCATTGTCGAGTGAGGTGACAGGCCTGGAGGGTATCCGTAGACAGTGTGGAAAAGCGCGTTGTCTGATGCCCCTGCGGCAAATAGGAACGTTATCGTGCACTCAACATGCTGTAATGCTCGTATTTGGGTCACAATTGTTTTGGTTCGACACGTTTTCCTACATGTTATTTAGTTCACGGGATAAAGATCACATGGTGTGGACGCTTTTTATTTTCACCATTGGTTTGCAACTGGTGATCGTGCCAGTATGAGCCATTTTGTCAGATATAAATCCTGCGCCCGAATGCTGTGAATTTCGACCGATCTTGGTTCTATAAGCGGGGTGAACACTTGGTTTGAACCCCTCAGGTGCTATTAATGTTATTTATTAATATATCTGTGACCTCATCATATGTTGTGTGGATTTGGGGTGATTTTTTGGGAAATAGGGCCTGTATCACAAACACATGGAAAAGAAGACGCAAGGGTGAGAGACGCGTTGTGGTCGTCACGGCAGTGGCCGAACTAGTGTTAAAGTTGGTGTGCCATAGCCACTATGGAAGATGTGCATCTATCTTGTGAGTCCTTTTTCTCAGAGGTAAGCATCAGAAACAGCTGATCGGCACCTCACACGAAACGGCCGCTTTCCCGAGAAAAATCCAGAAAGGTAGCGCACTGGATGTCCCTTACATTCTAACCTACGGGGTTAGAAAATGTGCGGAGACTGGACCACCATATCTTGGCGTAACCAACATTTAAAAAAATACAGGTGCTTGGCGTTTTTTGGCCAAGTGCACAACCGGTGACTGTTTCATGTCGAATGATATAATTGGTGGCACGGTTACACCGGAAGCAAGTAGATGAAAACGTCATGATTGCGCCAGACGTCAATTTCGAAAAGCACGTCTCTCGCTCGCTGTGCGATGGCAAGACGCGGCGCTGTGGTTGGGGCTGAATGAGTGAAATCGCCGTCGGAAGCTGCTGTAAGAAGAATGGTGGTGATTCGTCCATTTCCTGCGCAGGTGTGGCGTGGCGTACATCGATGACCAAGCACATTCATTCAGACTTTATCTAGCTGATCTAGCTGGTCATGCGCATGTTCCAACAGGGTGGGAGACGAGGAGCAGCGTCATCGGCAGGGTGGAGGACGAGGAGCAGCGTCATCGGAAGGGTGGGAGACGAGAAGCAGCGTCATTGGAAGGGTGGGAGACGAGGAGCAGCGTCATCGGCAGGGTGGGAGACGAGGAGCAGCGTCATCGGATGGGTGGGAGACGAGAAGCACCGTCATTTGAATGGTGGGAGACGAGGGGCAGCGTCATTTGAATGGTGGGAGACGAGGAGCAGCGTTATCGGCAGGGTGGGAGACGAGGGCAGCGTCATCGCCAGGGTGGGAGACGATGAGCGGCGTCTTCGGAAGGGTGGGAGACGAGGAGCAGCGTCATCGGCAGGGTGGGAGACGAGGAGCAGCGCCATCGGCAGGCGTGACCGTGGCGTCGATCTTAACACGCGCTCGGGTCGGTGGTGAACGTAACCCTTTCACAAGGTTTTTACAAAATCATTTTGGAACGGCACGGCGTAGCCGCTCCAAACTTTGCACAGCCGTGGGCAATTAAATAGTGGATCTTTTGGCACGAAACATTAGATGTACCTTGCAAGGCCGCTAACCTACGGCGGGTCAAAATCAGGGCATGGCTGTCAGCGAAGGCAATTTCTATGGGTTCAATCTTATGCGATAAGGGGTGTTAGACGAATCCATGCATCTCTGAGATAGTTTCCCAGGCAATGAAACAATTGAACTTGAGATTACAATAACTTCCATTGGCCCATGGTCAAGTATGAAGGCCAGGCCGAGTTTTATACCAGCCTGCTTTTTACTGGAGAATGCTTATGAAGCAATTTCTCATATTCATTTTGAATTTCTTGATAACAGGAACCGTAACAATCATAATTGCTAGATTTGTTAAAGGTCAGAGTAGGTCACTAAGCTAAAATGAGTCAGATCAACTACTTGTTTGTAAGAACGTGCCGCCTAGCGTGTTCCTGAACGCTTATTGACATTCAATTAGAAAGCTCAGAACTCTTCGGTGGTGAACATTTTTAAATTGTTGCAAAAATTGCAAGCTGCTGAAGCAGCATTTTGCGGCTAAAGGAAACATGGTCAAGGTCTAAAATCACCTCCATTGTTCTCGCAAGATACAAGTACCCTTCACGATTTTGAGAATAAATGTTGAAGATAGTTTTTTAAGAAAGTAAGGCGATTTTTATGAAATCTTCACACGGTTCCACGACCACGAAAGTGCCGGGTTGCTGCAGTACGGGCTCAGAAGCCTGGTGATCATAAGTTAGCTTCAGGTGGGGGTCATTGCCAGAGCGAGGAGGCACCGGGGCTGCCAAGGTCGAGCGGAGGTCATGGTCGGCGGTTGCCAAGGTCGAGCGAAGGTCGTGGACCGGGGTATTCGCAGAGCTGGACGACGGTCTGACACTGCGGCGGGAGTGCGCGATCCAACGAAGCGGGTCGCACATGGCGAGTCATCAAGTGAAGCGGCAACAGGCAGCCGAGGCCGGGTAGCAACGCTTCCGTCTTCGCCATCGAGTGGGCGTCAGTGCCGAGTTCGAGTTTGTGTCCACGTGGTTGTTCTTCCTCTTTCCACGTTTAGCCATGATTGGGAAGCGAGGAAGGAAGAATAAAAGGTGAAATGAGTTCATTTGGGGGAGGTCTGGAGGCCTGACTGAAAAAAATGACGATGAGAAAGTGGGGCTCCTTGGCAGAACAGGAACAACCCTGGGACGCCGAGAAACGTGTCTTGCCAGACGGGTGTTTATGCACTGAATGTATCGACACCAGGAATGAAACAATGGCAGATGCCTTTGGCTAATCGCATCTTTATTTTGACATTTTGTCACTGCGGCGTTAATGCCATGTCCAGCCGAGTTAGTCGTGGTGCGGAGCCCGCGTCACAGCCAGGGCAGAGGAGCGGCGCGCCGGCGTCCGGCGAGCCTTCCCCGACGAGCAAATAAGTCGCGTTCGTGCCGCACACTTGGCAAGTTCGCGTCGACACTGTCGGCGCGTTATCCACGCCGGACGCACAGGGGTTTGCCGCGTCGTCGCTGGGGTAGGTGGCGCTAGTGTCGTTCCCGTCTCCGCTGTAGACGACGCTGCTGCGGCCGATGTACTCCCGAGGAGCGCGGGAGCTGAACTGATGCAGGCGTTGGAGAATGCGTTGGTACACTAGACGATGGGCGTCGATCCCCCACAGGAAGTCCAGGTGCTGCCAGAGCGGCCACGCCACTGGCCGACTGGAGACTAGGTTTGGTAGTCGCGCGGCCAACGCCGCCACGTCCTGTCCGCACGAGAAAGCCAACACCGAATCAATGATGGTACGTGGGTCACGTGCTGCACGTCCAGGTATCAGTCTGCGACCATCGACGTTAGGAGCAATAGTAGCGGCCTTCTTTATGGATACACTATGAATAACTTCATTGACTACCCTCCCGGCATCACAGTGCACATTGAGGACAAACAGGCTGGCAGGAAGAAAACTACTAGGAAACCCTCGCAACAATTTGATGGGATCCTAGCTTCTTGCGTGGCTGCCAGCTCAAACAATTGGATAAGCGTGCACAACAGAAAACGCCATGTTTTTGAAAACCCCATTCAAATTCTCCGCCGCATGAGGCCTGGAGTCAGTTTCAGCTCATGTGGCGGGGACGCTTTGCTCACCCGTTTGTCGGCCATTTTGTCGTTTTTCCCCCACATGAGTACCACTGGTACGGTGACCAGTTCCGGGAAATACAATGGCGGCTTTCGTTGTCCGTATATAGCTAAATTTCTCTTTTTACCGTAATCAAAACGCTGGAATCGGCCTGAAAGAAAGATGCGATGCTTATGTAGCATGGGAACCTCTGGGTACATCAAGAAGCAATTGTCCGTATGATGAACTTCATTATTCACGATCGCATATGATACTAAATTTTGAAGTCGTAAAAATGTGTGTTTTTGATAGAGTAACATTCTGCGTCGATCTAGCATCAATGAAGTCGAGCTGGAGGAGGGTTTTCCAAAAAACAAAGTTTTATCATCAGCTGTATCGGATCAATCAAAGTTGCAACTGATGATGACGTTGGAATCAACTCGAACAGGAAGACTTGATACACAGAGTCGATCACGGAGGCGGCTTCAACACAGTTCAACAAACAACAAATTTCATTCTACCAAGTTATGAGCGACACTAAGCACAACTTGGCAATCAAACACACGGAGCGCCAAACATGCTTAACGCAGAACAATAGGGATTTTGTGCAAGCCTATACGTACCTCGAGAAATGGACTATGCTTCTTACCGTGGGCGTTGAAAATAATTCGACCAAGATCTCCGGCTTCACAACTGGCTGGAGTCAAACCCTGACATGCTCCCTGGAAGCTGAGTTGAAAGAGACTGGAGGACTTGGACTGGGAGGAAATGGGCTTGGTTCAACCACGGTTACCAATTTGTAATCGTAACGCACTCGGTCGGGTGAGTATTTTTGAAATTTACAGATATATGTACGGATATGGGTAAGATGTGAACGAAATATAGACAAGATACTTCAAAATATGACACATGTTATTACTGCTTCGGCTTCTTCAACTCACAATCAGCTCTATTCACGCCACGTCTTCAATGATCAACGTCAAACTGCAAACATTCTTGCAGAGCTTTCGGAGTATTTATCATTATTATGAACGTGCTGGAAAAAAACGCGCGGTTCAGTAGCAACTAATTAGATACAGGTAACGGATGGGTATCCCCATGGGCAGACAGTGGATTGGATAAAGCAATCTCACTCGTGAAGATATCTAGACTAGACTCCGCTGACAAAGACTTGAGAACAACTCCGCTCTCCAAACGTCGTGAGAACCACGCTATTCATAACTGGGTCATGCCAGCCCCTACGGCACCACCGAGAGTGGGGGTCGGAAGCGAATCCGCCCAGTCCCAGAGTGGGCGCATTGTTTGACCCGACTGAAATGGAAAGGTCAGCTGGGCCAGTGAGGGTCAACCCTGGCCCGGACGCCCGTGCCGCAGCATCATGCGGAACATGTAGCCCTTGGCAGTCCTGGGTTACGAAAGGACGGACGCAAAATCATTCGTTGGACTGAGCAGCCTGACTTGGATGGTAGGTTCATGGTGCACACAACAAGCTATGCTTAGCAGGTTCTCTGGACCCAAAACAACCCATGTAAACCATTTGGAATGACTGTAAAGAAGAAGAATAAATTGTGAAAGACATGAATGACCTATAGCCATACCGGAGCTGATGTGTTGGGCGAACTGTCGCTCCACTCTGGTGCCAACACCAGCCGGTACATGTGCGAAAATCTGCGGTAGACTGGCCTGCAACGCCGGCAGAAGGTCATGTGACCTTTTCCGCCTTTTTACTTTCAAGACACGTGTCCATGACATTCTTCAAACTAGTATCCTTTTCACCTCTTGTGTTTGTCTCCTTACGTAGTGTTAATCATTCACGCTTTCCCAGTGTCGATTTACACGTTGCAAACTTTGAAAATGCTGGAAGAGCGGACAGGCGCGTATGCAAGGTTTTGCAAGGAGAATGGCGCAACTCAAAAATTTTCTCTGAAAACCCAATTTAACGCAATGAAGGCGCGCGAACTTTCACACATGGCTTAAACCAAAGCATCATATTTTCAATCTATTTAGTTGTGCGTATTAACCTCGGAATGCTTACAGCCGTCATTCATCCACGCACCGAAGTGCAAGGAATAGTAATGTGATGTTCTATGCAAGTAATATAATAAGGGGATGGGACTCGTTCCCCGGGGGCAGTGGCCCAGGTGAGGAGGGCATCGGGGACACGTGACAGGGGTTGGCCGGAGGTCGCACCATAGGGCACGGCTCGCAAGGTCAAGCCCCTTAAGGCCCACCAGAGAGGCTTTTGTGCTGATTGAAGACCCATTGAGCCGATGAGGGCTTTTATTTCAGTCAGACATCATTAATACCAAACAGTCGGCTCCGCGTTGGTCTGGGCCTGAGGGACCATTTCCTAAGCAGCTTTTAGGCACGGACTCGCGATTCACGTTGATCGGAGCCGGCCGTGGGAACATTTGTCGAACAGAGACAGGAACAATACCCGGAATTCCCAGGGCCTATTGCGTTGGTCGGGGGGCCTCTGACAATGAAAGGAGGCATGGCAAATAGCAATGAGACAACGGGGTTGGACGGGCCCTGTGTCAGTCCGGGTCCGCAGAAGGGAACACTTCCACTTTATGTCAGCCGTTTAGCCGAACTGGAGTCTCTAAGCCAATTGTTGGACCACCTGCGGTGATAAATAATCTTGTTACGTCAATGAGGGCTCCTGTGCCAATCCGGAGCTAACTGCCCGTGTCAGGGAGCGTTCCACGTCAGGGAACTGGAACGTTCCACGTTCCATACATTCCATACTACTTTTGGACTTATGAATGATGCATCATTCTAAAGGCATCCGGCTCGCCTGGGACCCCCACCCACGTGTCGTCAGGATGGCAGCCGGTGAGCCACCCGCGCTGGGGCGGAATGGCCCCCAGTCCTTGACCGGAAATGATACTGTGGCCCTTGGCGTTCTAACCACAGGGCCCTTCCACGGAAAGTGTGGAGTTTCGTTAGTGTTCAGGAGGGTGGATCGGAATCCGATTAGGCTTGAAAAAAAATAACCAATGTAAACCTGATAACGTACATACTTCTGCAGAATCGATTAGTGGAACAAAAAGCATGAACTAATGTTGAACGTGCGCGCTCGTAATCTCAGGAGTGGGATCAGCAATAGCCGAGTTGCAATGCCGTAAAATCGAACGACGTTGGTCCATGCAGACAGCATCATGTGGCCGGCGCCGGGCGCCTGAGAACGAACATCTTGAAATAATGTTTCCGGAAATCTTTCGAAATCAATTCGTACCGTTCAAAAAGTGACTGGCGCGTATGTTTCACAGTAATAATTTTGAGGCGGTCCTCTGAATTGTACAACAAGAAAACGAATATAGATTCTGTGTATACTCTTCCAGTTCCACCAGCAATATCTAGCGCCAGCTCGCAATGGTGTAAATGTTAATCCGTTCCTTGCAGCCATCTGAAAACTGCACGGGTGAAATATACGCCCGGACTACCTTCTAAACGTACGAACTAATGTCCTAAGGCATTCAAAGACTTTTGGACACCTTTAGACATTAATAAGACCACTTGCCACACACCGCATCACCTGTGCCGCTTTCAGATGCGTCATCATTTCCGCCCAGCCGTTGACCGCCGTCCACTACTACCGCGGAGCCACCGGCGCACGGCCTGTGGGGACTCCAACGCTGAGCGTCGGGGGCTCCTGTTTCAAGACTCGCGAGCGCGCATGTTCAAAACTGTGTTAGACTATCGCTATCACTATTTCATGCTGACTTAAAGTTGAACATTTCCATACAATCATGAGGTTGGCCATGTTGATGCAGTTTTTTGCCTGATTTCGATCTCTCTTTTACATTGCCATGGCCATCAATATATCGGTAAAACCCATACAAATTATTGCAAAGCTTGAGTTTTATCGGTTTAGACAGCGCCCACTGAGCCATTGCGAAATAAATAGCGCCGACGGCATATTTCATGTAGTCATTTGACGCCTGGCTCATTCAGTTTATTGACTTTAAAATGCTAACAGGATTTCATCTTCTGGTAGCTTGTGGCCGGTGTTGTAATACAAGAAGGTAAAAATACAAATGCAAGAGAATCTTGCTCCCTCGAAATCAAGTGGGGCACACCCGGGTTTTTTTTTTGGGGGGGGGGGATTTTACCATCAAGGGATCCTTTGTCAATCATGTACCTACCCTTACCAAGGCCCTGGCCTTGCCTATGCACGAACTCCACTAAGTGGGTTAGCCCTTGACCTTGGCAGCGGAAGTCCTCCCGGGTTGGCGGGGGAGGGGGCAAGGGGTTTAAGTCATTCATTGCCATTTCTTCCCAGTCAACGCACATAAAGGGACAATATTAAATTTTCAGGGAGTTGGGGACACTCAGTCCCCCGCCTCTTGTGTCCCCATCCCCCTGAGTTTTGAACCCCTGTAACAACGACCCAACGGGTTTAAAATGGAGTAATAAATACAATACAGCAAATCCCAAGATTTGCACGCGCTTTCTCCTGAGTTCGTTGGAAGGTATCACACCGCTGTTGGATTTGGTAAAGGGAACCAGAATATCAAAAACCTTAAATTTGGAAAAATACTTAGTCGATGTTTGCAAGTTTGGGATACACTAACTACTCATGCTCTACGTCACACTCTAATTGTATAAAGGGAGCATGTCTTTTTGTACTATTCAGCTACTAAATCTGACACGTCCGATTTGGCTGGCGGTACGGGTTTTCTCGAAATCCTCTTGATTAGCTCAGGATTTCTTTTATAAGTAGCCACTTCGACGGGATGAATATTATTGGACTTCCTGTTCACTGCTATGCAAGCAACACTTTTCATTTGCTTTGCTTTTTTCAACGTTTGTGTTCGGCAATGTTGACGATACACCAGTTCGCCAAAATGTTTGTATAATATATGCTACAAAGCCTGTAGCACTCTACTTGGAAAAAGACACACAAACACGCATACCATCACGCAAAGTAATCGAGACGTTATAATAACACTTTGATTTCCCCGCTAAAGCGTTAAGCACAGCGGTTCAGCGCAGTTTGCACTCTGCGAAGCGCATTGCGGCTTTGGGAAAGAGAGCATCACATGATGCACAGGGACGCACTGGCCAAACTGCAACCAATGCGCTTCTCGGTAAACGGCCGTCGCCAATCTCTGTGTCGATCACAAGCGTTCAGTTGTCCTGACGTCATTCACAACAGTAGAGGTGCCACTTTTAGGCCCGTAGGGCACCAATGTACACGCTTAAACAGTTCATTAGATTAACTCTAGTCCGCAACAGCTGGCGACAGCCCTTAATAGATCCTGCCGTCGTCATTGCTCATTAGATCTTGATGAGATGCAGTAGCACTACCCAGTGATATTATCAGACGTAACTGGTCCTGAGGTTTCATTAAAGTATGCATTTTTTAAATATGCCCCAAAAGGCGGGACACTCGCTTTAAGCGAGATTCGTCTGCATCCTTTTTTTTAAATCACGAATTTGTCGAAGATTGCAAGGAAGAGTAAACACAAGCCAGAACGCATGTGCCCAAAGACTCGCATTTCAAAAGTTTACCACTATGCGGTACCGACGCCGCGACGCACCTCAGCTCGTCGAATGTCATATGCATACCTTGTCCAGCTGTTTGGGGTCCCAGCCAGCCAGTAGAAAAATCCCCAGGGCACACAGAAGAACCGTCGGCGAGTGCTTGCTGCAGAACACCTTCCCGAGGTTGCCGTATAATGTATTGTATGGCAACGACTCGTAAATGCCCAGCTTATCTGCTGTGTGCTGTAGAAAGATGTTTTAGGTTAGAGCAGGTTATAAGAATTGTTCTGGCGCCTTCCACTTGAAGTAGCTGTGGAGAAAGATAGGACCTTTGTTGTTAACTGTCAATTATATTCCAGACATTAATTTGGTGTTGCAATGAATATGTTACGTTATTTCACATCTCGCTGATGGCAATGGGGATATTTCGATAATTTTTTTCGCCACATGTGACCACTTTCGGCTGTATTCCTGTCGGGCCAAAGATGACAGGGGAACCAACAGACTGGAAAAGCGAATTCCCAAACCGATCACCGGCAGAATAGTATTTATAGCACGCAATCGCGCACATAGCACACATACACACGCACGCGTACACCGCACGCACCACGCACACACATACACACACACACACACAACACCACACACATATACATATATATATATATATATATATATATATACATAGTTAGAGGAACAACACGCAACGCGTCCCATCCATGCCACATATACCAAACACGGCGTACCAAGCAACGAGAAGATTGAGCACCATCTGACGCTATGGTGTGTTGTAGAAGTATGACATCCAACTGGCTGATAAGTTCTGATCAGCACCATCTTTCTCCATCCCAGACGTGTCTCTGGTTTAGTGTCCATGTCATCCAGTGCGCACCCTTTAGACATCTGCTTGCGTCCAAGTTTTGGAGCTTCACTGGAAACGCAAACCGTCTCAAAGAGCCGAGAATCTGATCATTCACCGCGCCAGGGTGACTGCATTGTCGTCAATCACCGGTCACCATGGCAACGCCCTGGTGCGGTGATCATGGCCGCTGACGTTGCCGCACTAGCGTCGGCCGACATGGGCCCCCTACTTACCACGAGGGCGCCGCTGAAGGGCACGGCCAGCCGAGTGATGCTCCTCCAGTACTTCATGGTGGCCACTGGGCCCAGTCCCACCATCAGGCGCACCTTGCTGTTGTACGACGGGTCGTGGTTCATCATCGCCCAGAACGACCATGTACCTGCCACGGCGCGGCGGAGCTCGTCAATCACGTTCGTCACCGTCTTAAGCGCCCTGCCGTGGCGCGGCGGATCTTGTGAATCACGCGTGTCACCGTGTTAAACATGTTGTTACGTCTCGTTTTAAACGCGTCTTACCGCATTTTCGTATTGGAATTTAAGGCCGGGTTTGTTTTTCATCGAGTCATTCGTAATAATGCATGGCATGGCTAATTCCATAGCACGCGTTTCATTCTGCTTCGCTTTGCTTTGCACAGTTCGTACTTACTGGCAGAAAATCCGATATAAAACAAGTCCTCATAGCCAGTGACGTGTAGTATGTAGTCGATTATAGCCGGGTTATCATATCGCGCATAGTCGTCTGCCCTAGAGATGGAAAGGAACAAACATGAATCAGACGAGTGCGGGCAGCTGGATAATTGTGAGTGGCTTCGGTCAAAGCAACGGATGTCGGTTGTAAGCCAAACATTCGATCCCTTGTATACTAGATGCACTCAGAGCATTTTCCTGTAAGATATCTACGGATACTGTATGAAATGAGGGGCTGGAGATCAGACATGATCAGCATCATGAAATGCTTTTAAAAACAATTTACACTCAAGTTTTGCAGAAAGGACAGCAATACAGAATACATCCGGCTACTAGCATTCATCAGCTTAAAACAAAGCCTACACACAAGCACACTTTGGTCATTACCGGATAAATTATGAATCATGTACTGTACCTGTGTCCAGAATTCCCTGCCGCTTCCCGAACTAAGATTGAGTCAGATACAAACAGCCCTTACGGAAGACCAGTGGTCGAACTCTATTGAAAAAGACAAAAAGTCAGATTAAAAAATAACGTAACAACATCACCGTACGACGAATGGTGTGGTCTCCCACACAGCGCAGCACCAGCAGGTTAACTTGGCACGGTCATGTCTCAGATTTTACTGGAAATTGGCACCCACGTCATCTTCTGCGTAAAGTCCACCTGGCCTAATAGCACGCTACTTTTTCATAACTGGAGTTGACATTGGTATGCTTTTAGGGTCGTGTCGCCCATAATGATACCTGGAATATTATTAACACATCGATTTCGGATATTGCAAAAATTAGTACCATGGAACTAAAACGAAGTTTACCTGGGTCAACTTAAAAATAATTTGCCTAATGACCTACGTTAAAGATCATCGTTGTAGCGTCGCATAATGTCTATTTTTAACTTTGCATTCTGCAGATGATACTTTTCGTTTTTTGTCTTTCTAAAACAGCAATCAAATCCGAGGGTGTGCATGTCTAAACAGGCCTCCCATGGCACGAAATGTGCCCGTTTTACTCATTCACGTGTTCGGACGTCACCGAACTGCAACGCTTTTCTACCAACTGTCTTGCGCTCTAATACGTGTGCCAATGCCCAGAACAGTCAGAACTCTTAATTAATTGGAACCAGGGGTTATCCAATGTTTTAAATCCACCTAGCCGAGTATCAGTTCTGTGTGACTTATACATGCATACATATATATATATATATATATATATATATATATATATATATATATATATATATATCATGAGGTTAAACGTAGGGCTTGACGCAGCGTTGATTGCCTTTTGCGTTTCAGCGCCAAAAAACGTATGCAAAATGCTGTGACGCAGTATATTTGCATGCTTGTGAAAATGAATGATAATTTTGCTCATTTTTCAGCGTTTCTAAACAAGTCCTCGGTTTTTCCACATCACGATGGTCCACATCACGATGCGATGGTGCTGTCTTCAACAGTAGATTGTGATTAATGCCCATGACCGGTAATTGATAAAAAATGGTCAAATTCAATTATAAGACCCATTCAAGCTCATTCTCACGCATGCCTTTGAGTGGCAGATGGTCCAGATCAACCGAGTTTCGTTTTCATCACCTAATTTCAAATGTTTAAATTTCGTGGGGTAAATGCAACGGAATGAAACTCCAAATGAAACATATTGTTGCCACGTTCAAAATATCCTGATGAAACAAGTTTGTATTCCAAAAATTATACCTTAGGATCTTTCAGCATCTTTTTCATTCGGAATCTATACCTTTTTTAACCTGATCTTTATGTGATCTATAGCTTTTCGTATATTATATACATATATGCATTGTGCTAGAATTGGCTGGAATTCAGGAGTTCTTTGGAAGTTTTTTTTCTGATTGGTCCCATGTGACCATTGTGCTTTTGGAATGATTGCTCATCCAGGATCTACTTTTGATTAATTCGTAGGTTTGCCAACGACGCAGCACCCATTATTGCGATAATGCACATGTCGTGTGCAGTGGGAACAAAGATCAAAGCCGAAGCCGGTCCTGATTCGCAGCGGGTCTCCCTTAAAAAGCGACGCAATGCTCTTACGGGCTATCGTCGCCGGGGACGGTCACGTTCCTGGTCACCGTTGCTGAAACTCCACTCACGTGAACTGCCAGAACTGACGGCTGTCCGGGCTGAGCCGCACGTGCTTGCGGGAGTACCTGTTGCCTCTGTTGTTGCCCAGCCATACATCGTAACCTTGATCTGCGAGCATGAATCCTGCAAAGACGTTGCAAATGTTAGATCGCTAGATGCAAGCTTATTCGGTCCACTACAGTCGAAAAATATGCGTGGCAACAAAGAAACATCGATAAAAACTACACTTCACTCAGACAATATAACTACTTTGAAATACAAGGAATACGTCGTCGGAGCGGGGTTTATCGGCCTGGAAAGCCTGCGGCGATTCTGGTCAATAAAGGTTCTGACCACAAAATAAAACTTCTTTGAACTGCTGAATGAACTACAGAGTGGACTGCGTGCTTGCGAGCCCAGCTCACCTAAATATGTCATAATTATGTAAACCGCACGTAGTAAGTCGGCGTCAAAGTCGCCATGTGTAGCCATCACAATCCACAAGCATGCTATACACATACACGTTGTTCATGGTGATATAGGCGTCAGGTGCTCATTGGTCACATTGATAATCGGCTGGTGTTGCGGCTACCGGGACCTAACAAGCCGACTGGCTTTGGTGGTTGGGTGACCTGCACCGACCTAGCGAGCGTCGTAGGTTGATGGCCCAGGTGGCCTCTGTACTGATCCAGCGAGGGTCGCGGACTAATGACCCAGGCGCCCTCTGTACCGACCCAGCGAGGCTCGCGGGTTGATGACCCAGTCGGCCTCTGTACCGACCTAGCGAGCGTCGCGGGTTGATGACCCAGGCGGCCGAGCTGTCCTGAAGGCCATGCATGAGCAGCACTGCCGAGCCGGGCCTGCGGCGGCCGGCCGTCTGTGGTATCCGGTGCAGTTCCAACACGTAACCGTCAGCCGTCTCCACATGGTGGACCTCCACCGGGTATCCCTCGTCTTGTATCAACTCCGGCTGCCGAACAGCGCCTCACGAATCACGACCAGGGAGTATGCTCTTACGCGGCGACATCAAACAGGTGCGGTGGTTCCTGATGTGGTGGCAGGATCCATGCATACAGTACTGCTGGACGATCATGGGGCGAAATGGCAGTACATGACTCATGGTGCATGGCTCACGCTCTTTGACATCCAGAGTGGCGTATAATGCCGTTTATCGAACACCATAGACCTAACATAAATGGGGGGAAAAGCATCAGCTCGCGGGCAGCATGCAGCCGGCGAACACGACCGCTAGCGACTGCTTGTTCTGGCGCCAGGGACCACTTACCACGGTTTGAAAAATGTCGTGTGCTTTGGCCTCGCCATGGCCGACGCTGAGCAGCAATGCAGCGAGCAGGCAAGCGAGCGCGTTCATCGCACGGGTTTGGCTTCCAGACCCTGGTACCCAGCCGGAGTTGGTCTTGTGAAGAGACAGACAGAACTGCAACGCTGAAACAAACCCATAGGGATGTCAGTCAAATGGGCTGTACGCTCTACGCGGTTTCATCCACACGCACAGATATTCTGATCGCTCTCAGCCTCTCCTGTCGCGTGCTGCCTGAGAACACGCCGAGCATCACTGTAAAGGCTGTTGTTCTCGCGATCGTTCGTTACTGCGTGAGCGTGCAGGGGTCATGTGGTGTGACGAAGATCGGTCTCGTGCAGATCGTCCACTTTTGTGCGCGCGTGGTTAGTGCCCGCAGACGCTGCAGCCATCACGCTTCAGATGTTATCGAGCAGCTCGACTGACTGCAAAAGGCCGATTTAATCTAATAACAAACCGTTTGCGCAGCCCAACGAGCTATCAGGACTGATCCTTTCGAGTACATCAGCGAAGCCGTCAGTCCAATACACCATCAGTCCAATATCTCGCGGGCGGCATGACTTCGGCACCCAAAATGCATATCGTGCAACAATAGAAAGCCGTAGCTGAATGGCTTAACAAAAATTAATCGGCTGGATAAAAAGCAGACACACACAAACACTAATGTTCCCCCGCTGGAAGAGCCCCATTGAAACTTCTGCCGAGATCGACCAATGCTTTCCATGCACCTACCTGGGATGGTGGAAGTGATTGGGAAGCGTGCCTGGAGAAACTCTCGCGCGTAATTTACAGACGAGTGTGATCTATGGGCTGAGTATGATAATGATGTGTCCTGGACTACAGGGCACTGGAAAAGTTATTATCATCCGGGTAGTGCAGGGAATGGGATACCAATTTCGAGATGTGGTTAGCATCAAACTTGGGTTTGACTCGAAATTCTTGAACCAGCTCCGGACTGGCTCACAGATTGTGGAATCTGACTCGGCTCGTGACTCAGCTGTTCTTTTTTCATTTGACTAAGTTCAGACTATATTTACATTGGAGCACTTGACGCATGACCAGTGTCTGAAACGTGGGTCTTTCTTGGTGTTTTTAGCCCCAAGACATTTTGTTCTCCAAAAATATACACTGGGAAGAATGCAAAAAATTATTATCTGTGAGCGACATCAGATGGAGGCAAGCTGTTCCTGCAACTTCGACAGCATCGCGCGCCACACTCACGACTGAACGAGGGATCCTCCCTGCAGGTTACAGCCGAATTTCTCTACCATATCACACATAATCTTTCCTTGCAATGCATTCAGTGCCCAGGTCTGTTGCTGCTCACCAGCGCATGTTTAACTCACCTGCCGTCCAACGACACCTACGCGCTCACACACCGCGCTCGATCCCGCACCCCAAATAATAGCGTCTCTCGACGTACCAGGGAGAAGCGCGGAGAACATCTCGCACGCGGCACGATCCAACATTTCTGGATTGCGAGTAGAAATCATTGGAACACAAGAAAAACTGATACAAAAGTATATGACGTACACGTTACATGTACCTTTAAATATGAGGTAAACTAATCATATATCGATGAATAAGTTATTTTTCATTCCTTTTAAATCGTACTTCTATTGAAGCTTTATTGAAAGCTATCAAAAATGGATATTGTATGGAACGTATAATGGTGACGTTTAACATCATCTCAAACACTCGCCCGGGCAAGTGGAAGACCAAGGCTCCGCGAGTCTCCGGCTCTTCGGGAGGATTTAGCATTGGAGAGGAGGCATATTATCCACCAAGAGATCCGAGGTGAATACGTGATGAACATGCATAAAAGGGTCATCAGACGAAAGTATGGAATTTTTCTATCGATCTACGGAGGGTCCTCACAGAATCATGATTGAGTGTAAAGCTAAAGCAGTGTTTCTTGTTCTCCGTTGAGCATAACTTCCACTGGTGTATTGATATGATCATTCACGTTTTTGAGAGCTACCTTTTGTTTTTAGCCGGGTTTTTTCCTACCAATATTTTTTACAAAATCAATGCGGTCCTAAAAATCAATATCAAAACCGATAAATAACCTACAGTAGCTCTGTCGTTGAAGACCGCTGTGGCGTGCGCGTCATGTATGTAGCCTACCGACCTTATTTTGGAGGAGCCGCGCGAGGGGCGGTGGTGACGCGGGTGGTTTGTGGCGCAGACAAAGGCATTATATAAATTTAGTTCAGTGTCATACATTGAGGAAAGTACTGTATCACACTCAACGCCGGTGAGAAGATGTAGTGATGCGAACCTTATGCGACTGGATTGCTCTGTGAGGATAAAACAATTCCTCCGCCCCTGCTGCGTCGGCATCCGAACCCCGATCACGCAGTAGCCTGACGTCTCAGGTGGTGTAGTTTTGTACACAATTTGGTGGAGCGGGTGAGCAGAGAAATCTTTAATATCATGGGAAGTGACCACTTCCCAGTGTGAATCAGGTTTAAGAGTGGTGGAGCGTTGAGTGTTAGACCACAACGCTGGAATTTGAAGAAAGCGGACTGGTGCAAATTTGGGACTCGGCTCGAAGAATCGTTTGTAACTGAGCCTGAGAGGACGGCACCCTCAATTGAGGATTTTACTCACAGACTTTTAGCTTGTGCCAACAGTTGTATCCCATGCACGTCTGGCGCTCCCCGACGTACTCCTGTTCCGTGGTGGACGGGGAAGTGTCGAAGCGCCATCCGGGCGTGTAAACGTGCGTTTCGGGCTTTTGACGCCAGGAGCAGTGTAGAAAACCTGATAGCCTTTAAGAAAGTGAGAGCTTTTGCTCGGCGCGCTGCAAGCGAGGCGAAGCGTGCTTCCTGGCACGCGTACATGAACACGCTAAACCGGTTTATGCCGACATCGCAGATCTGAGCCCGGATCAACTGTATTTCGGGTCAGCTTCCACCCATAGCTCTGCCGGTGCTGTATGTTAACGGCCAGGCTGTGACGCGCCCGTTGGATGCTGCGAATGAGGTTGCCCGGGCCCTGATCCAACGCAGCGTAGGTGGTAACACAAACCCACAGTTTGTGCGGCACAGAACGCGATGTGAGCAATCTGCGGTGGACTTTTCGACGAGTGGATTGCATTCGTATAATGACCCTTTGACGCTGGTCGAGTTGGAATCGGCGATCGCCAGGCTTCGCAGCGTGTCAGAAGGCCCGGACACTGTGCACAACGATATGATTAAGCATCTGCCGCGTCGCGTGCCTCGCGTTTTATTAGCGATCTTTAATTTGCCTTGGACCAGAGGAGAATTCCCAGCTTCTTGGCGAGAAACTACTGTCGTGCCTCTCCTGAAGCCGGGTAAAAGCGGACTAGATCCTTTACATTATAGGCCTATTTCCCTCACTTCATCGCTCTCTAAGTCTCTAAGTACATCTCCTACCCGAAGCCTCGTGGTAGAATCGCACGAGCCGCCGTTGTCAGCGAGGAGGAAAATGATCGGCATACGTAATGCACTTAAGCTGCGGCAGGTCCCGTGGCATCCCGCATATCACGCAGTGTTTCCGCGGCCTGCTGTGCCGTTTGTTCGCCATGCACCTCGGGCGCATGCTGTGACCTTTGGCTCCCGCATCCAAGCCTTACTGCGGGAAAACGAAATTGCCATTCGAAAGATGAAGCGATCAGGTCATCTGTGCACTCGTCCCCGGCATTGATCTCACCCTTCACAGACACATCTCTGACTGAAATGAAAAAAAATGTCTCGCTGCCAGATATAATGAGGCCCAGAGCACTCGAGTGTTTAGCGTTATGTGAGGATTTCACACATACTTACACGGACGGCTCTAAAACTTCTGATGGTGTAGGCTGTGCGTTTGTGAGCGGTGGCATCATCCGGTCGTTTTCGTTGCCCCCAAACGCTTCGGTGTTTACATCGGAGCCTAAACAATCACTAAAGCACTACGTTTCATTGAAGTCGGCGACGAACCTTTACATCTCATTTTGACGGACTCTCTGAGCAGTGTTCAGAGTGTGAAGTGTTTTTATCGATCATGTCCCCTTATAATGGACATTTTAATACGTTTGACTCAACTGGATCAGGCTGGAAAGAAAGTCATGCTATGTTAGGTTCCTAGTCACGTTGGAATCGCAGGCAACGAGCTGGCTGACGCGGCTGCCAGGCGAGCAGCGCCGGCTCCATGTGTTCGCTATCTTTCTTTTCCTGCCAGAGACTTTTACCCTGCAATTAAAACCTTCCTGCACAACAAGTGGCAGCGTTGTTGGGATTGGATGGATGGTAATAAGCTTAGAGAGACAAAACTTAAGCTGGGTCAGTGGTTCTCTTGTTTCCGCAAAATGAGGCGAGAAGAGGTGATCCTCTGCAGATTGCGCATCGGGTACACGTACGCAACCCACGGCTATATGTTGGAGGGAGCCGATTAACCCATCTGTAATCGATGTGGTGCTGTCCATACCGTTCTCCATATCCTTCTATCTTGTCCGCGTCTCGTGGAAGACCGCCAACGTTACTTTGGACAGCATAACTTGCCCCTTACACTCTGTGATATGCTAGGAGACAGTTCACACTTACTGGGATCTCAACAGATCTCTTTGCTTCTCAAACACATCAATTTTGGGACCATTTATGCGGCTCATTAGATAGGTAGAACAAAACTTGCTATGGGCGCGAAATGACAAAACAAATGACAAAACAACAAAACAACATGCACCTACCTGCTGTACAACTAATATGAATATGCCTGGTATGTCGTAAACACAGGCACTTCCTACTTGCTGTAAGCGAAGGCACATGCCACGTTCCAGAATGATTATAATACTTTTTGTCGGTGACGCATCACGCAGCACAAGTGAATCCGTTGCAAAGCGGCTGTATGCGTGATTACGTCTACTTATGGATTAAAATACTTGACCCCGCGAGATGCGTGTTTTGGGTATCGGTGCGGTATCGGTATCAGTATTGGTGCTGGGATATTGGCACCGGTGCTTTGGGACCCCCGTCATGTCTTAGCGCCGCGACACGGGCTAGCGTCGCCTCCTCACGCGGAGCAGCGTTCCTTCGGGACCGCGTCACCTTCGCATTCACGTTCTGCTGTCGGCGGCGGCTAGCGTGCGGCTCGCGGCTCTCCCAGCTCGCGGTCGTGTGGCCAC